TTCTGTGGACCTTTTCGTATTGTCAAGATGGTGACACCGGTCACGGCGAAATTATTACTTCCGGACGAGTGGCACATTCACGACGCCTTCCACGTCAGCCCCCTTCGTCCCTACGTCGCCAGCACGTCTGCAGTCGCCCGACCAGCGACCGCCCCAAGTGTCCGCCCGATGGCTGAACCGACCCTTGAGCCTTTCCGGCTTTTGAGCCATCGATTCCGCCTCGACTCCACTGGTCGCCACGTGGATTTTCTTGTCCGCTGGGTTGACCGTACAAGCGAAGACGACACATGGGTCCCTTCCGACTCGCTTCAGGAACACTCGATGCTCAAATCTTATTTGACCTGAAAAGGCGTTCCCGATGTTGATCACCTTCCTTAGGAGGGGGGGTAGTGTAAGGAATTTTATTCCTTACCGGGTTGTACTGCAATCGCGTTCACCCGAACTCTCGGAAGACCAGGCTCAGTCCGTTTCTGACGCGACCCCGAGGCACGCACGCGCCGCCTCCGATCCTTTCGACCGCGCCTGTACCCAACCTAGCCCTCCGGGCTCGTCGCCTAGCTAGAGCACTCGCTATATAATGCTAGGCTATCTTTCTTGTACTCGTCATTATTATTCCGCGCACTCTTTGTTATTATTCATAACACAAATCCATGTGCGACATTTCCAACAGGGAAGAAAGCTGTAGCTAGGGCGTCTTGATTCTGTTGGATACATCACCCTTTTCATAAACGTCGGGGTACACGGCTGTGACGCAACTTGGAGCGAAATGAACAGCAAACGCAGTGCAATGGCGTTAAGTGCAAACACGCTCGACGGGATTTTTTCAAACACTTAACAGGACGTGCCAAAAGACTCGAATCCAAAACAGTGTAACTCACAGTAGGAAAATTTTATGAATACTTAATGCAAATATGTTCATCACAATGGTCATGAGAGAACCACCTCTCGTGTACTGAATGTAAGTACATTGCCAAATGTTTCCTGGTGCAATATGTTGTAAAGTTGGGTTGCACTCATCAATGGATGCAAAATAATAAAATATGCACTGTTGACTCGGCAATACTTGTGGCAACAAGGGGGAAAGCACCAGAGAGAACAAGGGGAGAGCACCATACGGCCATGGGAGAGCACGTGAGCAAGGGGGTGAACAATAGGGTTGAAGGGGAAAGTGGATGAGAGATGATGACTAGGGATGGAAAAAAGGCTAAAAAACGACGATGATAATATATATATATATAATAAAATATACAATATAAAATATACAATATAAAATATAATATATATATATATGTAAAATACATTACATAAATATAAAATATGATGATGATGATGATAAATATCTTTAGAGATGATGACTAAAGAGGAGCAAAAACGAGGGTATAAGTGAAAGGGGTAACGGATGGAGGAAAGGGTTGACAGTGAGAGAAAGGGAAGGGAGGATGGGGGGAAGGATGGGAGAGCAGAGCGAGGTAGGGAAGCGGGCGGGCAGAGAGAAGGGGGGACAGCAGAGAGCGGGGGGGTAGCAGAGAGCAGGGGGGACAGCATAGAGGGGGGGGGTAGCAGAGAGCAGGGGGGACAGCAGAGAGGGGGGGGTAGCAGAGAGCAGGGACGACAGCAGAGAGCAGGGACGACAGCAGAGAGCGGGGGGGTAGAGAGCAGAGGGGACAGCGGAGAGCGGGGGGGTAGCAGAGAGCAGAGGGGACAGCAGAGAGCGGGGGGGTAACAGAGAGCAGGGGGGTTAGCAGAGAGTGGGGGGTAGCAGAGTGCAGGGGGGACAGCAGAGAGCGGGGGGGTAGCAGAGAGCAGGGGGGACAGCAGAGAGCGGGGGGATAGCAGAGAGCAGGGGGGACAGCAGAGAGCGGGGGGGTAGCCGAGAGCAGGGGGGACAGCAGAGAGCGCGGGGGTAGCAGAGAGCGGGGGGGTAGCAGAGTGTAGGGGGGACAGCAGAAAGGGGGGGGGTAGCAGAGAGCAGGGGGGACAGCAGAGAGGGGGAGGGATCACAGAGAGCAGGGGGGACAGCAGAGAGCGGGGGGGTAGCAGAGAGAAGGGAGGAAAGCAGAGAGCGGGGGGGTAGCAGAGAGCAGAGGGGACAGCAGAGAGGAGGGGGGTAGCAGAGAGCAGGGGGGACAGCAGAGAGCAGGGGGATAGGAGAGAGCAGGGTGGACAGCAGAGAGCGGGGGGGGTAGCAGAGAGCAGGGGGGACAGCAGAGAGCAGGGGGGTAGCAGAGAGCAGGGGGGACAGCAGAGAGTGGGGGGTTAGCAGAGAGCGGGGGGGTAGCAGAGAGCAGGGGGGACAGCAGAGAGCGCGGGGATAGCAGAGAGGGGGGGACAGCAGAGAGCGCGGGGACAGGAGAGAGTGGGGGGATAGCAGAGAGCAGGCGGACAGCAGGGAGCGGGGGAACAGCAGAGAGCTGGAGGAATTGAGGGACAGGAGAGCGTGAAGGAACAAGGGAGTGAGGGATAGGTGAGAGTTCGGATAAAAGGGGGAAGGTGGGTGGGGCTTGGGATGGAGAGATCGGGCAAAAGAACCACATGCCAACCAAATTTGAGGCTAGAGGCAGGGGAAGAGGAGGTGATGCCATGTGGGATGGGCCATGTCTCGGGGGAGCGTGAGGCGGCAGGTGTTGCTCCTGCCAAGCCTCGGAAACGAGCTCAGCCTGCAGCAGCAGCAGCAGCAGCAGCAGCAGCAGTAGCAATGACCTGCAGGGAGGTGCCACATGGGCAGGGTGTACCTGTGAGGGAGGATGCACAGGGTGATGGCCCTGAGGGTGTTGGGTAGACGGGGAGCAGAGCTGGTGAGTGTGACAGGGAGGGTGGCGGTGGGGGGGGGATGGGGAAGGGTATAGCTGAGTGTGAATGGCAATTTGGGACGCCCCTGCATTCTGGTTCTGGGCATCATAGGCTTCAAAAACACAGTAGGCACGTCTCCCAGCCCTCTGATTTCCCCTTCTCCTCACCTTCTCCTCCGCCTCTCCCCGCCCTCTCATCCGCCTTCCCTCATCCTCTCCCACACCCTCTCCTCGCAATCCGTTCCCCCGCTCCTCGCAATCCATTCCCCCTCTCCTTGCCATCCGTTCCCCTCTCCTCGCCATCCGTTCCCCTCTCCTCGCCATCCGTTCCCCTCTCCTCGCAATCCGTTCCCCTCTCCTCGCAATCCGTTCCCCCGCTCCTCGCAATCCGTTCCCCCTCTCCTTGCCATCCGTTCCCCTCTCCTCGCCATCCGTTCCCCTCTCCTCGCCATCCGTTCCCCTCTCCTCGCCATCCGTTCCCCTCTCCTCGCCATCCGTTCCCCTCTCCTCGCCATCCGTTCCCCCTCCTCGCCATCCGTTCCCCTCTCCTCGCCATCTGTTCCCCTCTCCTCGCCATCCGTTCCCCCTCCTCGCCATCCGTTCCCCCTCCTCGCCATCCGTTCCCCTCTCCTCGCCATCCGTTCCCCTCTCCTCGCCATCCGTTCCCCTCTCCTCGCCATCCATTCCCCTCTCCTCGCCATCCGTTCCCCTCTCCTCGCCATCCGTTCCCCTCTCCTCGCCATCCGTTCCCCTCTCCTCGCCATCCATTCCCCTCTCCTTGCTGGAGTGTTTCAATTGAGGCAACGAGTGGTCTCGGCGGGCCTAGGCCATATGGCGCGTGTCGTCACGGGGCCTAATGGCGGGTTTTACCATAGCTTCGCTTCGCAAACTACGGCAGGCACTGTGTCATTTTTGCCAACCCTAGGGGGCGGTAGGTACTACGCCCGAGGTCGTCTTTTCATAAAGGGATAAAATAAAACATTTTCCCCATAGTGGGGGGAGTTGTACGGCGATGCGCGGGCAGATATTTTTTTATGGGCTGTGTAGTGGCAGCTATGGCTTATGGCTTCCTAAGCATGATTTACTAGGAGGTAATCTCCTCCTAGAAACGTGAAGCACACCCATGGAGCTCTTGAACTACGGGTTCCTGGTTTGTGGTCGCACTCTGGTTGAGTGCGACTTTGGTTGAGTTGTGCGACCTCTGTTCTTGTCGCACCGTGTTCCGCCGAAGTCCCCCAATCGCAAGGTGCGTCCTGGCCCTCTCACTAAGACGATTGCACTGCACACTCCTCTGAAAGTCGTGTCACAATTCCATTCTTGTCATTTCGTTCAGTGCATAGTGCTCCAGTCCGGGTCGTTTATCTCAGAAGCTTAGGAGTCTAGGTTCCTAAAGTTAGGGCACTAGCTTAGCTAGGAATGATGCCATGGAATGGTGGGAGGAAAGTAGATCTAGGAACGTGAGTAGTGAGGAGAAATGTCGAGAAGAAAAGGTGGATTGAAAAGAAGACAGCGGCATACATGAAGGGGTGTTGTACCCTCTACAGCAGTATTCAGTAATAGTATACCAAGCCTATAAATTATAACTTCAATAATTTTAACACACCCCCTAGGCTTGGTAGTGTCAAGCCCACACACACCCACACCACACACACACACCCCCTAACCTAGCACCCCACTACCTTGCAGCAGCAGCGGCTGTTGACAACCCGGTAGACCTCTCCACGGGCGGGGCGGCGACAACAGCTACGAGGGTGCGGTGGCGACGACGGCGGCGGCGGCAGTGACAACAGCAGCGGCGGCGGCGGAGTGCGGCGGCAAGTAGGCCAGCACGACTGGAACGACGGTTGCGTGTCGAGACGGCCGCGGCAGGACGGCGCAGCTGGCGACAAGACGACGCCGCCACAGCGTGACGCCGCCGCGGCCGCCATGGCAGCATGAGAAATAGGAGAGGGAAGCGCGGCGGAAACGTGGGGAGCAGGCCCCCTAGGAGCGGACGGCTCTGATACCATCTCAGAAGCTTAGGAGTCTAGGTTCCTAAAGTTAGGACACTAGCTTAGCTAGGAATGATGCCATGGAATGGTGGGAGGAAAGTAGATCTAGGAACGTGAGTAGTGAAGAGAAATGTCGAGAAGAAAAGGTGGATTGAAAAGGAGACAGAAGCATACAAGAAGGGGTGTTGTACCCTCTACAGCAGTATTCAGTAATAGTATACCAAGCCTATAAATTATAACTTCAATAATTTTAACAGTTTCTTCTTCTGACCCCCAAAAAACAGAGTTTTTAAGAGCACCCAGGGTGTGCTTTTCTAGCCCAAGTGCCACATAAAACACCTCCTATCCCAGCATTGCCATACATTAGGTTCACATTCACCCGAGATTCCTATTAGTTCGGGATCTGCTGCCCCGTTGCATCGAAGGAACAACACCCCCCCAAGATGACAGCACTTTGGGGCCCTCAACGGCTGACTTCTCGCCAGATTTGCCCCACCTGAACGCTTGCATTCCTCGATTTTTCTACTGTACCATCTGAAATTCAACAACCCCCCAAGAAAGCTGCTCCTTGGAGGATAGGCTTCCCTCAATGCCCGACACATTCCTGCCGATCTGCCCCACCTGGTGCCCACCCCTAACTTCCTGAACTATGAGGCCCATCCCAAACTTCCTTCCAGTGATAGCATCAGAAACTAAACAATCCCAAAAGACCTCTACTCCTTGGGCGACAGGCTTCCCTCGATGCCTGACTTGACGTTCCTGCCAATCTGCCCCACCTTGCTCATAAACCCCCTCGCCCCACTCTTCTTCTTGCCCTTGCCGTCCGCACCAGGGGACAGCACAGGGGAGAGGGGAGCATCCCCTTCCACTGCTGCTGCTGCTCCTGCTGCTTCCCCTGCTGCTGCTTCGTCTGAAGACACGTGCAGAGACCCCTCCCTCGCCTTCTGCTTCAAGTCCCCTATGGACCGCGCCAGGCTGGGAGCACCGCGAGGAGTGACTGCCGCTGCTGAAGGTGCTGCTGCTGCTGCAGAAACAGCAGTGGAGGCCGCCGCATCAGCCGGAACAGCATCAGCAGAAGCAGCATCAGCCGCAGCAGCAGCAGCAGCAGCAGCAGCACCGTCAGCAGCAGCAGCAGCGGCAGCGGCGGCTGGGGCGCCAGGAGCGACGGACACAGGGAGTGCGTCATCAGGCGAGTCAGAGCTCGTCCTCTTGGACTTAGCGGCGCCCACCCCTGAGAAGCCCCGGGGCATGGTCCTTGGGGTGGCGAGGGCGCGCTCGGCGGCCTCGCGCACGCGCCTCTCAGAGTCAGCAGCCGCGGCTGCGAGGGCGGCAGATGCCTGGTCCTGCGGCACGCTCCTGTCCTTCTCCTGCGGGCTGCGCGCCTTCTCTGCCTCCGTCACGCTGCTCCGCTCCTCCTCTGAGTACTCGCGGTAGGCCAGCTGTGCAGTGGGTGGGGGGGAGAGAGAGGGACAGGAATGAAGGGGAGATAGTGCCCCGCGCTTGCCCGTCTCTGCCTCGGTCAAGCTGCTTCGCTCGTCCTCTGAGCACTCGCGGTAGGCCAGCTGTACGGGCGGTGTTGGGGGGAGAGAGAGGGACAGGAAGTGGGGGCGAGTCGACATGGTGGGGGAACAGGTTGAGAGAGTGTAGGGTGCTGAAAACAGCAGGAAGATGCGGCATCAGTCAACCCCCCAAGAGCCCCTACTCTCTCCGCTGCAAGGTGACGCGGTTAGCTTGTGGTCCTGCCCCAGCAGGGAGTCGTTGTGCAGCTTGGGCAGCAGGTCCAGGGTCACCTGGTCAGGGGCGGTGGTCCTCCCCTCCCCTCCCATTCACCTCTAACCACACACACACACACACACACACACACACACACACACACAGAGACAGCCCCTCCTCTCTCCCCAGCAGTGTGATGCGCCCCAGTTTGTGGTCCTGCCCCAGCAGCGAGTCGTCATGCAGCTTGGGCAGCACGTGCAAGTCACCTGGTAGGGGGCGCTCTGCTCCAGCAGGTGGCTCTTGACTTGACTCGGTACTAACTCGGTACTGACTTGTTCACTGACTCAAGCTCACCAGCACAGTGATGCGGCCCAGCTTGTGGTCCTGGCCCAGCAGGGAGTCGTCGTGCAGCTTGGGCAGCAGGTCCAGGGTCACCTGGTAGGGCCCGCTCTGCTCCAGCAGGTCCGCCAGGGGGAAGAGCGCCCACCCCAGGTCCATGTCCGCCATCACATCGTCGTCCTCGACCTGATGAGGGAGGGGGGGTTGGGAGTGAGAGCGGCAGACGGGTTGCGAGTGAGAGCGGGTGAGGGGTTGCGAGATCATGGGAGAGGAGGGGAGTTGCAGTGAAGGCAGCAATTCCGCCAGGGGGAAGAGCGCCCACCCCAGGTCCATGTCTGCCATCACGGCGTTGCCCTCGACCTGCGCGCATGCGGGGCGGGGAGAGGGGGGTGAGAGGGGGAAAAGGGAGGGGGGGGGGAAGGGGGTGAAGAGGGGGGGAAGGGAAGGGAGACAAGACATGAGGCCGAGGGGTTGCCAGGGGGAAGAGCGCCCATCCCAGGTCCATGGCAGCCATCACGCCGTCGTCCTCGACCTGATGAGGGAGGGGGGAGGGGGAAAGCAGGAGAGGGTGGGGAGTTAGAGCGGAGGTGGGAGAGAAGGGAGGCATGTGGGGAGAAGGGACGAGCGTCCAGCCCAGGTCCATGCCCGCCATCATACCATCGTCCTCGATCTGGGGGGAACCATGGCGGAGAGGGGGGTGCGGGGGGAGAGGGGAGGGAGAAGGGTTTGAGGTGTCTCAGAGCAGATCTTATATGACTGTCATTATGGAAAGCTACTGTATGTGCAGAGAACGCGGGAAGTGGAGAGAAGAACCGGCACGAAGGCAGTGCATGGCAGCAAACGCCTGTGTTCACACCCATCCCCACCCTGCCAGAATTTTTTTCCTTGCCCGCATTTAATAACCTCAGTATCGATTGTACAAGCTATCTCCTTTTCGAATTCTTCACACCCGAAATTCCCACCCTGCCCAGCGCAGGCCCATGCTGAGCTTGACAGTGAATTCAGCATTGAGCTCAATGAGTGACCCACCCACCCCTTCAGATCGAATCTCGATGGACTCGTTGAGGCAACCAACCAACAACAGGCTTGCAGCCGTGCCAGCCTTTGCTTCACAACTCACTGACTGACCTTGATGGTGAGCTCGGCGGTGTGCGGGTCGTCCACGGGCAGCAGAAACGTTTCGTTCCACACCGGGTTGAGGTTGTTCTTGCAGACCCCCGTCTTGGCCCTGTGCTTGGGGTTCAGCCACACGGTGGCGTAGGGGTCAGACTTGCCCAGCGTGTCCACGTTCTTGACGCCCTCCGCCTTCACCACCTGCACCACCAGCTCGCCCCCGTACTGCATCTCCAACAGCCTGATGGGGATGCAGTGGGGAGGAGGGATGGAGCGTTGGGAGGCCAGGGAGGAGGCACACAGTGGCATATGGGTCGGACTTGCGAAGCATGTAGACACATTCTTGACGCCCTCTGCCTTGACCACGTGCACCACCAGTTCCCCCTCGTACCGCATCTCCAGCAGTGCGTGCTATGGTGGAAGTGGGGGGAGGGATGGAGCATTGGCGGGCTAGGGAGGAGGCACGCAGTGGCATAGGGGTCGGACTTGCTGAGCAAGTTGACATTCTTGACGCCCTTCGCCTTCACCACATGCACCACTAATGCGCCCTCGTACCGCATCTCCAGCAGACAAGAGCACGAAGTGGGGAAGCAGGAGGACAGGGGAGCGCGCAGGGGTCGGAGCCCAGCATGTCAACATTCTTCACGCCCTCTGCCTTCACCACCTGCACCACCACCAGCTCACCCTCGCACCATCGAGGTGCGGTTGAGGCACTCACTTCTCATCAAGGCGGGGTTGAGGCACTCACTTCTCATCAAAGGCGGCGTTGAGCTTTATGACTGTGCGCTCGGGCCACACGTAGGACGAGTCCAGAATCGATGCCACCGTGTTCTGGTGCCATGCGGTGGGATGCGGTGCGGTGGTATGGGATGGGAAGGGAGGGGAGGGGAGGGGGAGGGAAGGGAGTGGGGGGGGAGGGGAGGGGAGGGGAGGGATTGGAGAGCTGAGTGTGGGCATGAAAGAGCGTGTGGGCATTGAGGCATGCAACGGACGACGCCAGCACGGCTGCCACGGTATGAACGAGCCGTGAGCACAGATTGGGCTAAGGGAGCACAAGGGGGGAGGGGGTGTGGGGGAGTGGGAACAGGGTAGAGGGCGGCATGCAAGGCAAGTTGGTGCAGGAGCAGCATAATACTCCTCCTTCACATCCCCCCCTCCCTGCCCCCCTCCCTCGCATGTCCCCTTCACAACGACTCATTCGCCCGCTGCACTCCCAGCAAACCCCCCAGCAACCCCCCCAGCAACCCCCCCAGCAACCCCCCCAGCAAACCCCCCATCAAACCCCCCAGCAACCCCCCCAGCAACCCCCCCAGCAAACCCCCCAGCAAACCCCCTCAGCAAACCCCCCAGCACTCCCCCCACAAAACCGCCCAGCAACCACCCCCACCCCCTTACTCACGTCGATCTGCTTCTCCAGCCCTGGGATGGCGGACAGCGACCCCCCCACGGCCTTGAGCACGAAATCCACTTTGGGGCGCGGCTGGGGAAGAGAGGAGCGTTGGCAATGAGGAAAGGGGGAGGGGGAGAGCAGGAATGGAGAAGGGTGAGTGAGGGCTGAAACACCTTCTGAGGAAGAGCAGGGAAGACGCAGAAAGTGTCACCTTGCCGCAGCAGCCTTGCGCGCCTGGCGGTGCCTCTCACCTGGCGTGCCTCTCACCTTGGTCCAAAGTCACGAGGGAGCGTTGCGTTGGTCTGACCTTGCGCAGCAGCGAGGCGACGACGGCGTCGATGCAGGGGATCTGGTCGCCCAGCTGGAAGATGAGTCGCAGCGTCGCCTGGAACACCAGGTTCTTCACCTGCCGGGAGGGAGGCCGGGGGGGGGGGGGAGAGGGGGGGGCGGACGATAGAAGGTGGGAAGGGCGGGAGAGCATGGGGGGATTGAGATTGATATACCCTCCCATCTGGAAGATGACAGACAGCATCGCCTGGAACACCAGGTTCTTCACCTGCCGCCAAGGGGGGGGGGGGGGGGAGAAGGGGGAGGAGGAGGGGGGGGAATGGGTGTGAGAATGGAAGGGTGTGAGATGGGCCTGCGCTCCCACCCACCCCTACCCTCAAATCCCCAAACCTCACGTTCCCACCCTCACACCCCCTATCCTGACACCCCCTACTCCCGCACGCCCCACCTGCACTTGCAGCTTGACTGCGGCGGCAGTCTTGATGTCGAGGATAATGGAGGCGTCGCTCTGCCAGTAGATGAGCATGTCCATGATCACCTGGTCCTCCGCCGCGCCCGCCATGTGCACCTTGATGCCTGGGGGCGCGGGAATGGGAGGGAAGGGGGAGCGGCGAGGGCGGAGCGGGGAGGGGGGAGTGGGGGGTTGAGGAGCCATGAACTCGTCGCTCTGCCAGTAGGTGAGCATGTGCATGATCACCTGGTCCTCCGCTGTCCCCGCCTTGTGCACCTTGATGCCTGAAGGGGGGGGGGGGGGAGGGGAGTGCGGGGGGGTGGAGGGAGAGGGAGATGCGCACACGCACACCCACACAGACAGAGGGGAGAGGGGGATTTGAGCCCACCTTCAACATGAGGCGCCTTCTCTCGGCGAACACCCACGCACAGAGGGGGTCACAGCAACATAGCAGCGCACCTTCAACATCGGAGGGGGGTCACAGCAACACAGCAGTGCACCTTCGATGGGCGGCGCCTTGTCGCGATCCTGACCCAGGTCGAACTTGAGGCGCCTCAAAAGTCGTCCTCTGACGATCCTGACCCAGGTCGAACTTGTGGATCGTCATGGACGACACCATGACCATGGGGCTCTTGAGCCGACTCACACGGCACACAGGCACACACCCACACAGACGGGGCTCACAGCGCCACAGCGCCGCACCGTCATCACCCGGAGGGGGTTCATAGCATCACAGCGCCGCACCTGTCATCAGCCGGAGGGGGTTCATAGCATCACAGCGCCGCACCGTCATCAGGCGGAGGGGGTTCATAGCATCACAGCGCCCACCTTCGATGTGCGGTGCCTTGTCGCGGTCCTTGCCGAGGTCGAACTTGTGAAACGTCATGGACGACACCATGGACGGCCGGTTCGCCTCCAGCATCGGCTCCACCGTCTCCCACACCACGCGGCTCGTCGCCTGCTCGCACAGGCACACGCATAGGAGGGGGGAACACAGGCGGGGGGGTTGGGGGGGGGAGGGGAGAAGAGGCGAGGGTGGAGAAGGGGAGATGGAGGGTTGGGGGGCCTTCAGTATCGGCTCCACCGTCTCCCACACCACGCGGCTCGTCGCCTGCACGCACGCAGCAAGGGGGGGTGAAGGAGGGGGGGTTGCATGAGAGGGGAGGGTCAAGGGGAGGAGGGTTGGGGCCTCCAGCATCGGCTCCATCCATCGTCTCCCACACCCCCGGGCTGGTCGCCTGCAGGGAGGGACAGCGTACGCACACATAACATGGCAGGACGATGGGGGGGAAGAGTGGGGGGGGGGAGGGGGATGGGGAGGGGGTGGAGGGAGAGAACCAAGGGAAGGTTGCAAGGCAAGGAGGAGCAGGAAAGTACCAATGGCGCGCAGCGCAGACGAAACGAACTGCAACGGCATGGCGACGAATGAGAGGCAAAGGCACTGACCTTGTTGATATGCGGCCAGAGCTCCGACAGCATCCGCGTGACCCAATCCGCCTGCAGCGAGGGAGACGGGTGGGCAGAGACGGATGGGCGGAGACGGATGGGAGGAGACGGATGGGAGGAGACGGATTGGAGGAGACGGATGGGAGGAGACGGATTGGAGGAGACGGATGGGAGGAGACGGATTGGAGGAGACGGATGGGAGGAGACGGATTGGAGGAGACGGATGGGAGGAGACGGATTGGAGGAGACGGATGGGAGGAGACGGATTGGGAGGGAAGAGGAAGAAAGAGGGCAAGAAAGGAGGAGAGGCTCTGAGAGGTGAGTGGCGAGAGGAGTGAAGGAAGCGAGGGAGGGAGGGAGGCAGCATTGAGCATTTTCCGGGAAGAAACAAAGGAAGAGAGAAAGGTGAACGAAGAGACGGTAATCATATGTCTGCGAATGTGATCATGCCCCGTCGAATCCATTCATACTCCATCGAATCCAGTCGTACCTCTTCGAATCCATTCATACTCCATCGAATCCAGTCGTACCTCATCGTATTCGATGAACTTGACCCACGTGGGGCAGAGCGGCCCGCAGATGGCCTTGAGCTCGGTCAGCCCGATCCCCTGCAGCGCCATCAGGTCGCTCTTCTGCGAAGCATTAACAGGAGCCGTAAAGGAGGCGAGGGGCGGGGGGGTGAAGGGCGGGGGGGGAGAGAAAGAGAGTCAGAGAGTGTGTGACCAAAGACGGCATTGAGCTCGGTCAGCCCGATCCCCTGCAGCGCCATCAGGCCGCTCTTCCGCGAAAGAAATCAAGGAGGCGTAAAATTCCCCGGGTAAAATCCGCGGGGAGTTCAAGGAGGCGGGGGGAGGGGGGGAGGGGGGGAAGGGGGGGAAGGGGGGGCGGGGGGGGGTGGAGTAGAAAGAGAATCATAGAGTGACCATAGGCGGGGGAAAGCGACGCGAAGTGAGTCGCGAAGCGGCTGACGCGACATGGGTGAAATGGGCGTCAGCGAGTGCCGGCATTGGCACGTGCGAATCTGGGACGTTGGAGCGTTTCCGCTGTTACTGACTACGTCAGCGACGCAAAAGATTCAGGAATATTTTGTATCGACAAAAAAGGTCAAGAGCGAACAAGAAATGCTGCAAGAGAGCACGTGAGGGACGAAAAGAAGGAAGATCACGTCGGAGACGGGACGTGCGAAAATTTACCACGGCGTTCCGCTTGGCCTGGCGGATGCCCATGAAGTACTTCCACGCGTACATGAGCACCACGCCGATCACCACCCCCATCAGCACGCTCGATACGAACCCCATGGCGCCTCCGACCTCGCGTCCAAGCCAAGCAGCTGCGGACTTGAAACGAGAGATTCGTTACACAGACACCTGAGTGCAGAACCGATGAATCGCCTGTGGGAGACTGGGCCGCTAAGGAGCTGAAATGAGTCGTCCTTTCACTAAGATTTCATGAACTGACGTCACACAATAAGGAATGTCCAATGTTTTCAGTTCAGCCGTGGAGCAGTCAAGAATGGCGAGGCTAGGCCATGAGCAGAATTTGACCAAAGATGAGCATAGGCGCAAATTGGAGCGGAGCGGAGGGGAGGGGAGGGGAGAAAGTGGGAGGGGAGGGGAGGGGAGAAAGGGGAGGGGAGGGGAGGGGAGGGGGGGGATGGGAGGAACTCCAGCGGAAAGGCCAAGGCTACTGGAGAGCCTGGCCTGACTGGAACCACAGGAGATAATTGGAAGATCTCGCATGGGGGAATCGGAATTTGACACTCTAGCGGGTTGGTCCATGTCTTCATAGCGGATACAAAGCAATCGGCCTAATACTGGTACAACCCGTAAGGTTGTCTTGTTTCCAAGAAAATCACCATGTGTGTGTTCTCAACAAACAAGCTCAATATAATACACTGCAGCATAAACATGTCCATTCAAACGCTATTTCCTAACTTTCAACATCCCATCTAGAGCTGGATGTGCACAATAAAACAACCCTACCATTTTCCTTCTCCATGAGGTGCCAGACCTTCAAGCTGTGAGCTGCGACCAGAAAAGTGGATCATTATAGTCCTTCACGACAATGGCTGCCCCTGCTTTATACAAGGCATCTTCAGTGTTGCCAGTCAGTACACCCACTGTTGCAAGATTTGCTGCCACTGCTGCTCGCATGCCAGACGGGGAGTCCTGGAGAGCAAAAAGACAGGACACGGGGGAAAGGAGGGGATCCCCAAATATCAGAACTCAAAACCCATGTGGCTTCCACCATGCAGCAGCGTTTCACTCGCCCGAAGCATCAAATCTCCCTCTCCCCCTCCCATCCCAATGCAGCCTCACCTCACAAGCAAAGCACTCCTCGGGCCGCACGCCGAACCGCCGCATGGCCTCCTGGTAAGGGTCGGGGAAAGGCTTGGCCCTCTCGCACTCAGACCCGATGATGAGATGCTCGAAGAAGGAGGAGAGGCCCAGTGCCGCCAGCATCTGCTCCGCGTTCTCCCGCGGGGCGTTGGTGACTGCGGCTCTGCGCAACCCTGTGGCCTCTATCCACGTGCACAGGCGATCCAGCCCCTCCACTGGCTTGATGTGGTCCCCTGCTAGTCTGGCGCGAGGGCAGAGGATAGGGAGGAGACGGAAAGTCGGAATGTGGTTAAGTCACGGGTGTTGGTGACTGCAGCCTTGCACAGCCCTGTGGCGTCTATCTACGCGCACAGGTGGCCCAGCCCCTCCACTGGCTTGATGTGGACCCCTGCTAGTCTGGCGCGAGGGCAGAGGGAATGGAGGAGAAGGTCTGCGCAGCCCTGTGGCGTCTAAAAAAATGGCTCCGCATTTTTCTCTGGGGCGTTAGTGACCTCCCCCGTTGACACGAGATGCTAAGGAGTGTAGAATAGAATAGCGCTGAGTGTAAGTGAAGGCGCGGAAGGAGGGGAACTCGAGGAAGAGAACACAGAGAAAACAGAATTTCTAACAAGAGCAGAAGCGGCACGCCAGAGAACGTCATCACTCTGCATCACGGAACGCACATCCAGTGGTCACATGCCGCTACCGAACGCTAATCCCTGGTCGTACCACGCACTCGCCACATCTTCTTCTGAATGTACTGACCTTCTAAAGAGAGCCTCTTTCTCGTCGAGGAACGCCGTGCGCCGCTCCTCACTCCACTCCGGAAACAGGTCCCTGCCGATGTCAGGGTTGTGGCGCCCGCTGATCCTCGTGCGGAAGAACGCCTCGTCGATGGGCCGGCCACCGTTGAAGCCCACGTCGGCGAGCATGCGCTGGAACGCGAGGAAGTGCAGCGGGTCCGAGTCCGTCAGCGTGCCGTCGATGTCGAACAGCACCGCGCGCAGCTGCCGCACGGGGGGCAGCGCGCGGAGCGACAACGGCTCTGGGGAATGGACGGGGGAACGTTGGGGAGAGCAGGGGGGAGGTGGGGATGATGGGGTGCGGAGGTAAGGCGGAGGTTTGGTGATGCCTCGCTGTTGAAGCGAGTCAAGCGTGAGAGGAGATTGAGGCGAATTTGAGCTATGGGAGATGCGGGCCTACCGTTCACAACGCTTGTTTTCTGCGCCAGAGGCATGACGGCTGCCGTCGCCACGTACGAGGCCTCCGACGCCTCCGCCATCGCAGCCTCCGCCGCCTGCGACGCTGCGAACGGCATGGGCGGCCCCGCGAGAGTCCCCACGGAGATTCCGCCTGCAGCCGCCATGGGTAGCAGCACGACCAGTCGACGGGGAGCTTCGACGGCTGAAACCCGCTGCTTTTGCTCGCTCCTCTGGCTTTGCTCGCTCCTCTGGCTTTGCTCGCTTTGCTGCTCTACGGGCTTGGCAGGGAAGATCTCTGCCTGTGGAAGAGGCGCACTGTCAGTCTCTAGAGGACTTTCCTGCCTGGCTGACGCGCGAGTGCAGGACACACTGCTTCTGGCGGAAACTCGGGACTGTGATCCGCCGAGCTGACCGCTGGCGGTCGTCGGAACGGTCGCAACGGTGGCGATGTGTTGCGCACAGAGCGGTAGCGAGATGGTATGCATTCCAGCGAGGCGGCGAGCAAGGCTGGAGTGATCGAGGCGAGGAGAGGCAAGCTTGAAGAGGAAATGGATGAAAGTGCGGACAGATCGATGGTCTGTCAGGCAAATGACAGACATTCTCAAGGCGAATGTGTGGGCCACAGAGCGCCAGACTGGAATCCTCACGACACTCTGTAATCTGGTTACCCGTTTCAGTGATGCTCGTAGCACTATCGTGGTGTCTTGCGAATTCACGCTGAACGAATCAACGAGGCTTCTGGGGAATTCGAAACGAGAGGCCTGCGACGCAGCGGATATTCGTGATTGACGGCCAGAATATGGCGAGCTGTGGAGCAACGAGAACCGTTCGTCGACTAGATGCGAAGGCGAAGACGGCTTGAGATTGGCCGAACTGATATTCGCGTTAGAGGAAACGACCTGAACACTACCACCAGAAATATAATCGACCCAAACAAACAGTTGGTTACACTAGGCATATAACGGCTCTTCGACATGTGGAGTATCCACACACGCATAATTACTCATTCAAACAGCCACGGGGAAGTGCGGCCTTCTGTACCACGCTCCGTGTTTCTCAAGATTGGGGCAAAAAGACAGCCGAAACACAGCCAATAATGGATTTTCCCTTATTTGCAGAGACGCGCCATAGTAAGGCCGGCAGCGCCGTATCCATACACAAGAACCAGGTCATTGGCCTACAGTCTAGAAGTTAATGTTATGCAGCGTGAGCACCACGCTGCGTTGGATTAGTAAGGAGGAAGTTCCTGATTTCACTTCCTTAGGCGCAAGGACGCTGCGATGAAGCTAAAGACGCCAGCCTTGCTGCTCTTAGAAGACTTCGGCGACACGCAAGAGCCACCGTTGACGGCAACGTCGAGCTCGAAAAGGTCAGCTTCGTGCATGTTGCTGTCGGCGAGCGACGTCAGATGCAGCGACTGCTGCTGCGTCTCAACCACCGCGAGAGCCGCGCTGCGGATTCTCGACCTCGCCTCGTCGATCCAGATCGGGCTGCAGGCCAACTCGGCTTCCCAGCACGCCGACTCGCTGTCGCAGGTGTTGTAATCGAGGGAGTCGCGGAAATAAGGCACATCAGGCTCCGCCGAGGAATTGTAAGAGTCGAGATTGCACGCGCTCTCCAGGTCGCAGCAGACGCGGCTGAACATCTCGAGAGAAAGGACTGAGACGGGAGATGCAGGATACATTTCAAAGTCGGCCGTGTGAACCATGCTGAATGAAGTAGAGATGGTGTACAGAGGGATAGCTGAAGTACTGAACAGGTCGATTGGAGCTGTGGTGCTTGGTAGCAATATTGCTGCTGTGATAGCAAAGCAGCAACTCTGCTCAGCTTTATGTCAAGCCCCCAAACCCATAACCAAAGCGTTGGCGCTGGTGTTGGGAAAGGGGAGGGAGCACAGTAACGCGTGCAGCAGGGCTTGCCGTGAGAGGGCCACTGGTTGCAAGCTTGATGTCGCGCATGCGAGCTGGTCCTTGGTGTGAACCAATCCGAGGCACAGAGCCCTTCACGTGATGGCTAGGCTTGCGCATCACACAGCACGTCATTCCCGCTTCAGCTCGAATCTCGATCGTTCACCCCCATGGAAGTTTGCGCATGGTCGGTTCGGATGCATCCTTCTGTGCATCACGTCATCAATCGCCGATGGGGTCCACGTGAGGAGTAGGATACACTGTACCGTAAAGGCTCACGCGCAAGCAGCTGGAGCAATCATGAATTGACAGGGCAAGCAGGAGGACAAAGCTCCTAGCAACATGACTGCTTCTCCAAGGTCGAGACTCGAGACTCGCAGGGGCAGGGGGCCAGCGCGCGCGTTCAAATTCTGTTGCTGCACATTCATGCCATCGCGCGCGAAACAAGGCGGGGGCGTCTTACCATGTGAATCATCATTGCTCGAGATGGTACCAGTGCGCATCCCTTGTGGTCCAAGATCGCGCTTGGCTGCATGCTCTCACTCGCCATTGGCTGAACGCAGCAGCTCCATAAAGGCCATCTGGGGTTGGACCAAACATAGCACAGCACAATACAGTACAGTACACCTATTCTACCGAACAGTCCGTAGCAGAACACTTTGATTTGCCGTTACACTCCATGTAACAAAATATCCTACTATAACTACATTATAATCGAGTACTCTAGAAACACGATGCACATCCATATTCACAATGCATGAGTTATGCGGCTCTGCAAAGATAGAAATCATGAGAAAATATTCTCGCTATCAAAACCAGTGCACGTACGCCACATGTCAAAGCAACGTGGGTGTTCGCCGTTGAGCACCTGACACATATGCGTATGTGCACTACGTCCGAACAACCCTTGCCACTTGCATTTACTCACATGCGTCCAACGGGTACTGTTCTCTCCGTCTGTACAAACAAAGCTCGTCAGAGTCGCACAAGATTTTAGGGTGCCGGAGATTCAATCGGTTAAGTATTTCGCATTCCCTTGCCACGGGAAAATTAGTCTTTCGCACGAGCACACGGCGAAATGGGTGGGTATTTGTGGGGGGGGGGCTTGTGTGGCGGTGTTTGTTGCCAGTGTGCGACTCTTGTGAAGCGATCAGGCGACGGCGGTGCACAGTTCCGTGGCAACGAAATCTTGTCGGCAAGGACTCGTCCCTTGCTATGTGTTGGTCGCAGACGCAATCATAGTGACTCAAACAGATCTCCCATTGCCCGTATATCGGGGGTTTTGGGAAGGGATTCTGATTAGGCGCCAGGTTGAGCTGGAATAAGGCTGGGCATTGACTGTACAATCCAGTTTTGCCAAGCAAAATAGTTTTCCACGTTACATTTCGCCGCGGCTCGGTCAGTAACGTAGAGTGACAGGTGAAAAAGGTGTACATTCTGTACGCTTCATTACTGTACTCACTGCGCAAAGCCTATTTGCTCCCGCCCGAGCAGGGCACAATAGCCACTTCATAAGAGTTTTCATCTTCCTACCCGAACTTTTTCTGAATTCCACCACACCCAGGGAGGAAGCATCTCTTCTGTCTTTCCGCGGAAAGGTCCGTCGTTTTCGATTCCGATTGGCTGGGTGAGGAAACCGTGGGCGACTTTCTCGTGAAGTCATGATGACTGAAGCGAGTTACACGTGAGGTAACGCTTTCCGTCATTCCGTCATTCCGGAAGGGGACGGAACCTGGATTACCCTTTAACAGACGGAATCCCCCCGAAAAGACCCGTTACCGAAAGGAAACGGCCGCTACAAATTCGGCTGGCAAGGAATCTAAGGCAGGGGGGAATGGGGGAGTCTGTGGTGGGGATGGCCACCACATACAGATTGCCCTACTACAAGTATAGGCCGTGCAGATTCAAAAAAAGTACTCGCTAGGCTAGAGAATCGCGCGAAATTGTTTCCGTAAGTTGGACGGATTCGGAAAACATCCCACCGTAATAAAAAACGGGAATCACTGGAAACGTTACGCTTTATTTTCTCGAGATGAAGAGTAATTACCCTGTTCGCGAGAGTCCCGATTAGCAACGAACGCAGGGAGGGGACATACGCTCGCATCGGTGCTTCACGTGAAGACTGTGTCCCAGCCAGGGGGCCTGAGTCGGAGGATTCATTGATGATGCAATCCTGCTCGCGCTCCAGGCAGCCAGCTTTTACGCCTGCCGTTATCTGGTACGGTATGGAGGGAAGACCTGGATCACCCCCTTCCTTCCTCCCCTGTGCCTGACTCTGGTTGAGGGCCGAGCCGAGAGCCCCTCTGTCCACCTGAATACTGAATCCCCCCCCCCCCCCTCGTCTTCACAGGTGGGATGGAAAGATAAAGTTGAGGGCCACTGTTGCTTCATGTCAAATCCATTTGAGCAGTGCATTCACAGCCTCAGCATTGAGCCAACGCAAAATATCGGCAGAAATCTCTAGTTTCCCTCTAGACCACCAAGACTGTCAGCGATTACTGATCTTCAAAGCTAGTCAGCATGGTTAACACAGTCAACTTTGGGGCACACCCCGCATCTCCCGTCTCGGCCTTCGCTCTTGAGATGTTCAGCCGCGTCTGCTGCGACCTCGATGACGCAGCGTGCTCTTCGAATTCCGGCGCCGAGAGCGACGTTCCTTATTTCCGCGATTCACTTGATTACAACACCTGCGACAGCGAGTCGGCGCGCTGGGAAGCCGAGTTGGCCTGCAGCCCGATCTGGATCGACGAGGCGAGGTCGAGAATCCGCAGCGCGGCTCTCGCGGTGGTTGAGACGCAGCAGCAGTCGCTGCATCTGACGTCGCTCGCCGACAGCCACATGCACGAAGCTGACCTTTCCGATCTCGACGTTTCTGATGGTTGCTTCTGCATCTCACCGAAATCCCCAAGTTCAAAGAGCAGCAGCGAAGGCAGCAGCAAGGCTGGCGTCTTGCGCTTCATCGCAACATCGTTGCGCCTGAGGAAGTGAAATCTGGGGATTGTTCCCTGGTGCCTTCTAGAAGATGTGGTGCTCACATCGCTTAGCTCCTGCCTCAGCTGGCAGCTCCATTGATTAGTTTCTTGGTGATGGATACGGCGTGGCCTGCAACTTATTGGCCCGTCCCTGCAATATGACAGGAATTGCTCATTCAAATTATTCTTTTTCCAGCTCACTGGAAGTTAATGATTGGATTTGAGAGTTGGTTTTTCTCATTGGAATAAATATCACAACCTTAATTCAATGGTTCTCCAGAAGGCGCCTTCCCATGCCATAATCTCTTGGCTAGGAAACGTCACTCTCCCAATGGCAAGTGCTGAGCATGTATGAATGCAATGACGCAACCCAAAGCAGTGCATGCCTGGGTTTTGCTGTCAAGAACATGAGAATGTAGTTGGGGTGCATAGTATTGGATAGGTGTTGCATGACAGGGATGCACACAGGGTCTAGTGGCGTTGCATGTGTTCTTGTGGTGTTACAACTGCTATAATACTCTTCCAGTGACCCCTCTGTCACTAGCTCAACCTCTTGTGTTGTGTGTATAATCTGCTCTCCAGGCTTGCCCTCCATGCGAAGTACGGTACTAAGCTCATTCGTGACATTACTCTTTCAATACTGTAACACTTGTTGAAAGGCGGCCTTGTTGTAATGCCCTCAACAACGAAGCCAAGTAAACAGACCAATAAGTAACACTAATTGCAGTACCCTGACCCACTTCGCTTGTCTCGTGTTTGCTTTACTCCTTGCCACCATTCTCGCATCCATCATCCCCACCACCAGCTGCCAGTGATCGTTCATACACTGCTTGCACCAGGAGTGCACAGAACACCAGCCCACTGGCCGCCACCTGCAGCCACTCCTTGGGCTCATGCGTGACAGCCTGGGCTAGAGAGAGCCCTGATAAGGCGACGAGAGCCGCATACAACTTGCGACGGAACGGTGATGCCGCCGCCCTTTGATTGGCTGAGACCAGCTCAGGCACTGCCTTCAGTGCCTGCTCCTTGGGAGAGAGCGCCGGGCTGGAGGACGTGGAAGAATGCGAGGAACTACCAGAGAGGGCAGCGGAGGAGGAGGAGGGGGGTGAACCAGAGAGCGGCTGCAGCGAGAAAGAGGACGACGAAGAGTCGTCTGACGAATCCCAGCCCTGCTTGTATCCACCCGAGCCTGAGCTTGCAGGCTCGAAGCCCGGAGCAGCAGCAGCAGGAGGTGTGTCGCCAGAGGGTCGGCGGTAGAGCTGTTTGAAGAAGAGCAGCGAGTTGCGGCGCTCCTCCACCGACTTCTCAAACTCCTCAAACTCGCGCTCGCTGCGCTCCATGTCCGCCCGCGCTGCCGCCAGCTGCTGCTCAAATTCGTCCGCCTCCGCATCCACCTGCTGCAGCACCTGAAAGAAAAGAAGGGGAGAGCGGGATGGGAGGTTAGGGACTGTTGCTCCCTGGTGTGCTGCCAGTTGTGTCTGCCAGTTGTGTCTGCCAGTTGTGCCTGCCAGTTGTGCCTGCCAGTTGTGCCTGCCAGTTGTGCCTGCCAGTTGTGCCTGCTTCTGCATCCCCCTGCTCCAGGACATGAAAGCGACAGGAAAGGGTGGGGTGAGGGAAGATGAGCATAAAAAGGAGATGGTACAGGAACTTCGCTCGCACAAGCGCTAGCCATTCGTCTGCCTCTGCATCGCACCAGGGAATGATGCAAGAACTTGTGCAATGTTGCGTGTACCTGCAGCACGCGTATGTGCAGTTTTGCATGAATTCGCGCCATGTCTCACGTATGCGTGATATGATGGATGCGTCCGTGCAATGTTGCACACCAACAAAACGTCACACTGCGGGAGGATCAGCGGAGAAAACGACAGGAAATTACCGCGATGCTCGACCATTCTCCACGTCCCTCTGCTCGCACTCCCGTCCTCTCACCTTGCTGCTCGCCTCGCTTTGCTGCTCGCCTCACCTTGCTGCTCGCCTCTTCCATGCTCCTCTTCGCCTCTTCCGCTATCCGCGCATACTCCGCCGATGCTGACTCAGCAATCCCCGTCAGCAGCTGCGACCTCTCCTCCACGAATGACTCCACGCGCACCTGGATCGAACGAGGGTGATGGGATCAGGGGGATCAGGGGAATAAGGGGATAAGAGGATAAGGGCGAAGCATGAGTGAATGGGAATGGCGAAGAGCCTGCTGTCGGGTTGAGGTGAGGGGACAGCAGGACTGATGATGAAGGAGCGAAGATGAAGGGCCGATGATAAATGACCGATGATGAAGGAGCGCCTATGAAAGGCATAAACACGAGCATTGCGGTCGGACGAATGCACGACGTCCCATGACGAGGAGGAGCACGGCGCACTTAAACACCAAGTTGCACCTTGTCCGACTGCAGCTGCACCAGGTCTGCCAGCAGCTGCTGCATCTCCGCATCCCCCGCTGGTGCGCCGTCCGCTGCTCCGCCATCCGCGCTCCCCGCGTTCTTCTCGCTACCTTCGCTACTCCGGTCGCCGTTCTCCTTGTCGCCTTCGCTCTCCCCTTCTCTCCTCGCGTTCGCTACCACGCGCCAGCGGCGAGAGGCTACTGAGGCTGGCCGGGGAGATGCGGGGCTGCTTCTGACGTCTTTAAATGCGGCTGAAAATACAATAGGCGAAAGCCTGGTCCTGACAGCTTTACTGCTTACGCGTTCCTGCCCCGCGCTACCTCCCGCCAATGCCGCTCCGGGAAACCTTAAACGGAGGAATGCTTGTCGTTGGTAGGTGGGTGTAGCAGGAATGGCGGGAGGAGAGAGCTGCGCAACGTGTTGAGCTGCCATGACTCGGTGGAAGTTGGATTGGTTGGGTGAATGGAGGGATGGCGACGATTTAGAGTCTAAGTTCCAACGGCCCCTAATGGTATGAACGAAACTAGAGAGTAGCGCGTAACCGAATGTCGAAACCGTGATTCATGAAGCTGAAGATGCAATGAAATGGCGAGGCAATATATAGGAGCACCAGAGCTTGTCCTGGTCGTGAGATGACATCGTTCGGGAATGATATCGAAGGGTAGTGAGACGTCGACGAGAGGTCTGGGTACGGACGGAAGGTTCGGTTCGAGAAGTCCGGCCCGAAGCTGGCTTCGTGAAGGGTCTAAAGTACGCGATGTAGAAAGCCTTCAGTAAGAATGTATTTCCTTCAACCAATGTGATGGAAAATGGTATAGAGGTGTAAGTAGGCAAAACTTAAGTTTATACCCACATACAAGTTTGGGAAGGAAGTTACACTCCAACTGATTAGTATGGGATGGGAACAAATTACTCGATGCAACTACCTGAGGTGGGAGTTCTGTTGGGACCTGCTTGTCAGAAACCCAGCCACTAACCACTGGGTTAAAAGGGCTTATTGAATAGCGGGTAAGTGCGCCCATAGCCCCCCAGGCTCTGCACCTGTGGCCCTTCCCCGAGGATCTCAAGGGCAACCCCAGCGGGTCACTCAACACCCCCCCCCCCGCTGGGATAGGTGGAAGACACGAGCGCCTCTGCAGCGCTGGCACCGGGAGTTGAACCCAAGACCTTTGGCTCTGATACCATGTCAGAAACCCAGCCACTAACCACTGGGTTAAAAGGGCTTGTTGAAAAGCGGGTAAGTGCGCCCATAGCCCCCCAGGCTCTGCACCTGTGGCCCTTCCCCGAGGATCTCAAGGGCAACCCCAGCGGGTCACTCACCACTGCTGGCTGGTTCAGTTATAGGGTGGGTGAACTTGCTTATGGCTGGACGTTAGCACTGCCTGCTTGAGTGGGAGGTTGGGGTGATGAGCCTACCCCGGCGCAGACAGTTGGCACTAGACACATTCGGCATAGAGTAACTGGAGTAATGTGGCCTGCTGGAGTAGGTACTACGTGGGTGGGTGTGGCATGCTAACAGATTGGGTGACATGATCAGCCTGTTTGACTGGGCGGCTGGATGTGTTGCCTTCTCGAGTGTGTGGGTGGGTAGTATGCTGCTTCAATTTGTGGTTGATGTAAGAACCTGCTTGACCCGGACCGGAAGGCTGGTTGGCAGGTGTGGTGCTCTTGCTTGACTGGGTGGCTGGCTGGTGTGTACCTGCTTGAATGGGTGGTTAGTGAGTTTGTCAGTAGTGCTTGAGTGGGCAGTTAGTGGGTTCATACCGCTTGAGTGGGTCTTGTTTCTGTTGGGTGTCTTAGTGGTCACCTCACCTCACCTTACCGTTCGTTGCCTTACCAGAAAATACCATACCTTACCTCACCTCTAAAAGAACAACTCAATCACAATACATAACCCTACCCCCCTCCCCCCTCTCCCCCCCCCCCCCCCCCCCCTCCCCCCCGCCCCCACAAACCACTGGCTACTTCAGCTGTAGAACTCAGTTGGTATGGCTACCACAGCTGCTATCAAGTTGAGCTCAAGTGACCTGCCAAGAGGTGGTGGTGGTGAGGATGGGGGTGCTCCCACTGCCGCTGCCTGCTGGATTGTCCTGCGCCGTCTCTTGCTGTTGGCCTGTTCCCACAGCAGCATCTAAGAGCACTCTGCAACAGGGAACATGGCAGGGTGTTGGGCGAAGCAGTCCTACCCAGCAGGAGCAACAACATAAGGCCAGGAAGACGCTGAAGCAGAATGATGATGGGAGACCAGGTTTGCGAATCTGGAAGGGCGGCTGGTGGGGGGGGGGGGGGTAAGAGATGAAGAGAGGTGAGTGAGTGCGTCGTGAAGGGGAATGGGACAGGCGAACAGGGTGTAATGGCATGCTGCAAGGGCGGACAAGGGAGGGTCGGGGCGGACTGACAAGTGTAGGTTAGGGTGACACGGTAGAGCTGAGTAGGGTAGGGTAACAAGAAGGCGGCTGGGAGGCCCAAGTGGAGGGCAACTCACAAGTTTGAAAGGCAGTGGCAGTGCTCCCGCATCTCCCTGGGCAACCCCCCTGGCGCATCCTGAGCCGCGGCCCAAGCTGCAGCAGCGCACCCAAGAATGGAGTCTGCTCGCCCCACGCCCTCCCTGCCACTCTCCGTGCCGCCATGCCCCATGAAGGCCCACAGCTGCTGCAGGCGTCCCGCTGGAAGGGGATGGGCAGAGGGAGGACCGGCAGGGGGCAAGAGAAAGCGACAAAGAGGGGAGGTGAGCAAGTGAGTGATAGAGAGGAAAAGCGACAAACAGTGGTGGATGAATGCATGTGTTGGAAAGAGGCAACAAACAGTGGTGGATGGGCCACTGGTGCACGGATTCCTGCAATGTGGAGGGTCGAGGTGTCAAAGCGTCCCAGTGTCCAAGTGTTGCAGCAGCAGTTGGGCGAGACAGTGGGCTGCTCGCCAGGTGGGAGGGCTGCTGCAGGGGGGGGGGGGCGTGTTGGCAGCTGCTGGGTCGTCACCAAGTTACCATACCGTACCATGCCTACCTGCTGAGCCCTGGGGAAGGGTCCCTTGGTGAGACCCCTGACAGCTGCAGGAGGAGGAGTGAGTGGTGAGCGGAGGAGGCGGGAGGGAGTGGAGGGGATGGTGGAAGGCGCTGTTTGTCCCCTCGTTTGCCCTCGCCCTCCCTTGTGTGCCCTCCAGATGCTACAGCAAAGCGCTTTGTCCCTCCAGATGCTACAGCAAAGCGCTTTGTCCCTCCAGATGCTACAGCAAAGCGCTTTGTCCCTCCAGATGCTACAGCAAAGCGCTTTGTCCCTCCAGATGCTACAGCAAAGCGCTTTGTCCCTCCAGATGCTACAGCAAAGCGCTTTGTCCCTCCAGATGCTACAGCAAAGCGCTTTGTCCCTCCAGATGCTACAGCAAAGCGCTGCTGCTCCGTGCCGCCACACAGACGCCCTCCTGCCTGCAGCTTCCCGCCAATCACCCTCACTTGGTGCATGAAGGAGTGAGGTCGTCAGCCGGGCATGCACAGAGGCACAGAGGCCTTGCCGTGCGTCATCCCATCCCACCGCTCTCCACACCCGCCTTAGCACCAGTTGTATGCTGCACCGCCGCGCACACAGCTTCACAACCTCCACGGCTTGAAAGCCACGCAGACAGCAACAGCGGAGCACATAGCCACACAGCACAAGTAACAATAGGGGAGAGGCAAGAGAAGCACAGAGGAGCACACGGGGGAGCTTGTCAGAGGTGGAATGTGAGCAGCCAGGAATCTAGCAAGCACAGGCAGACTCGAGACGCTCTAGGCGCGGTCTAGACTCACTGCCCCCCCCACTGGCTTACCTCCCCACTTACCGAGAGAAGGGGCCGCCCATACAACGCAGCACCACTGCCTCCTCCATACCCCATGCTGACCACCGCTGCCACCATTGCCACCGCTGCCACCGTTATCACTGACTCGTCGCCTGCCACCACACACACACGCACATGCTCACCCACATCCACACACACATGCACGCCCCCACTCTCCGCACTAGCAGCTCTCACCGAGCTACTACAGCCTGAATGGCTGAGCGCCACGAGGCACCACAGCAAGACACCAAGGCGCCCATACACCAGAGGCAAGCACCGGGGCACAGAAGTGGTTAGAAGCGGCGAGAGAACAAGCAACGACTCGAGCAAGCAAAAGACTCGAGACACTCTAGGGCGGCGCTACACATCCCCCCAACAGACTCCCCCCCGTGCTTACACAGTGAAGTGCACTGGGATGTGCCCTGTAGCACCCTGCTGCCGCCCAGCAGCAACTGCCGCCCACGCACCACCAGTCACCAGTGCAGCCACTCCTTGCTGCCACATGTTGCAACCCGTGCGGCCGGACCACGCTGAGTGCGCAGCCACAGTTATCTCCGGCTTTGGCAGCACACATGTCGCACATCTGGCAGCAGCACTGAGATTGAGCACGCTGCAGACGTCACATCAGTGCGGGCCTGCAAAGGCGGAAGGGCACGCTGGCAGGGCAGCAGTGCTCACAAGGGTGCTGGCAGTCACTGGTGCAGTGCTGACAGTGACGGGCTCAGTGGCGTGTGAGCCATGAGGCCACAGACACGCACACGCACAGATAGAGCACACACAAGCACAAGCACAACTGTTAGTACCGGAAACATAGTCAGCAAGGACTCAAGGAGGAAATGACTGACTCGAGACGCTAGGCGTGGCTTACTCGCCCCCCGAGCACCCATGCTCACACGCTTACCAACTGAAGGAGGGCAAGACTGCAGCTGCAGTTGGAGTTGATCGCCATCCGATCGCAAGTTTGGACGCGATTTTTGAGCTCGCCGCAGCGGCAGCAGCAGCCTGGAACCCGTCCCCACTGCAACAGCAACTGCTGCACCGCTCAAGTAGCTGGCGAGCTCATGGCCGTCGCAGGAGATGGCGCTTGCCACATGCGATCAGTGTTGTTGCGAGAGACCCCGCCAAGCATCGTTGCCGGAGATCAGCTTGTCGCACGAGATCAGTGTCCTCGAGAGAAATCACGGTTGCCGCGTGCGCACGCACATCCACACACACAGACACAACAAGCAACACAGGCAGTCAGTTAAGCGGCATTCAAGGCAACGACTTGAGGAATAATGGACAGGAGACTCTCTGCGCGGCGCTGCCTAGAGACTCCCTCCCCCACAAGGCCCCTTCCCCCACACGTACCAAGCGAGGCAGCGACGCGAGATAGCAGCTGATCCGATCACAAGACTGGACCGGGTTTCTGAGCTCGCGACAGCAGCAGGAGCCAGGAACCGGTCGCGTGGCCGCTGCGGTCGTCGTCGCAGGCGATCATCATCGTCGCACGGGATCAGCGTCGTTGCAGCGCCACGGGAGATCTGCGTTGTCGTATGAGATCATTGCCGAGCACGCTCGTCGCACGAGATCACGATCGTCGCAGTAAGAACCAGCATCGTCGCCGGAGATTAGCACGAGATGAGCGTCGCCGAGAGAAATCACAGTCGTCGCGTGCGCACGCAGAGACACGACGAGCACGCAAGCAGCACGAGAAGACTCGTCAGTAAGCAGCAAAACAGGAAACGACTCGAGCAATGACCGACAAGAGACTCTCTGCGCTGCGCTGCCTAGCGACTCTCTCCACCCCAAGCCTTTTCTCCTCGAACTTACCAAGCCACACTGAGCAGCAGATCTGGAGGACGGCCCGCGAGGCGAAAAAGCGTCGCGCGGACAGCAGCGTCGTCGCAGGCGATCCCTCGCACGAGATGAGCATCGCTGCAGGATATCATGCCCGTCGCAATCATGCTTGTCGCAATCAGCGCCGCCGAGAGGTATCGCGGTCATCGCGTGCGGTCGCACATCCACACACGCAGACAGGACGAGCACACAAGTAGTACACAGAAAATCCGCCAGTAAGCAGCCGCACAAGTCACAACGACTCGAGGAACGATCGGATAACGACGCTCTGCGCGGCGCTGCCTAGAGACTCTCTTCCCCCCCAAAGCCGCTTCTCCTCGCGCTTACCGAGCCAGCTGAGCAGAGCCGGAAGGGAGGCAGCGAAGCGAGATAGGAGCTCCCAAAGTCAGTCACTGCTGGCGAAATCACGGCCGTCGGAGGAGATCGGCATCGTAGCAGGAGATTACGATCGTCGCAAGAAATAACGGCTTGTCGCAAGAGACCACGCTCGTCGCCGGAGATCACGTTAGTCGCAAGAGCCTGCGTCAGACCCCAAACGCCGTTGAGCCTATCCTGGAACCAGCGACGCCTGCTGCTTGCATAACTGATCGCGGGAGCCATAAAACACCGAATCGGCGAAAGGACTTCTCGGAGGAGCTAGGCGGCTTTGAGGAAGGAACGCATGTCAAGCCAAATGGCCCCGTGAGCCGTGCTACTAGTCCCTGGCTCGCCACCTTGGAGCTACCGCAGCAGATGATGAACAACCGATTCTGAAGGCTCGAGAGCTCGGGTGACCGCCAGCTAGAGAATCGACGGCTAACGACGCTTTCCACACCTGGTTATGTTAAGATCCGCGATTAGGGGAACAGAACGGAAGCTAAGAGAAATGTACGACGATCGGTGAGGAGCGACAGCGAACGGATTTACCGCCTTAAAAACAATTACGACAACCGGTGAAGTTCAATAGGGAATGCATTCACCGCCTAGGAAATAACTACGACGACCGGCGAAGGTGGAGGGGGAACGAATTAACCGCCTAAGGGCGACGACCGACGAGGACAGAGAACGAATTAACTGGCTAAGAGTAAAGCGATCAGCGAGGAACGACAGGGATACGAATTAACGGGCTACGGAGGAGAGTAGATTCTAGTCATGCGAGACTAACGTCAGGAATGAGTCAGGTTCGAGGAGCTTCAGGAATGCTGTAGGTCAGTCATATCCTGACGGAGGGAGAGGATACACGGCAGAAGCGGTAAGGGAGAGTGGTGGGAGGTGGGTGGAGACGAGGAAAGGGAACATGGCTGTGGTGGTTGCCAAAAGAAGGTGGCCGAAAAGATGGGAGAAAGTGATGGAGGGGGTGCCAGGTTTTGAACCAGTTGGCGGGAACAAAGGTGTCAGGGCGGCGGTGCAAATAGGTAAGAGACTCGCAGGAATGGTGGCTCGGGATTTTGCTGGAGTGATTGGCTTGCGAAAGGCATCACCACTAACCTGGGATTGCGGCTTCGATAGCGAGGTTACCGAAGTTCTCAAGGTCCGAGTGGGTTACACCAACTCCAGGAGTGAGGATTACGTAGAGAAAAATATGCGGTGAGCGTGGATCGAACACGCGACCTTCAGATCTTCAGTCTGACGCTCTCCCAACTGAGCTATCCCCGCATGTTAGACTGAGGATCTAATCATATTTATCCCTTATTGTGCTACGCTAAGAACAAAACTCAGGACTCGGTCGCCGCGGAATTTATTCCGAACTCCACCGCTCTACCTGTCTGTCGGATCGCTTGTCCCATCGCGTCCCGTTGGTCCGACCATCTATCAAAGCCATTCGCACATCACTCGTAGCGGCCATGCCACGGTATGTATCTTGCCAGTTAGGGTTAGAGCCCTGGGTGCACAAGTGTACAGTTTTAACTCCTTCGCGAACAATTAGGGTTAGGATCGTGTAAGACGTTTTCGCGAAGCTGACGCTACCATCACCCTGCCCCCAGTTGTTCTAAGCGACTCGGCGTCGTGTTGCCGTTATCCGCTCTTAGGCCCCACCCGCGTGCGAGGTCATCTAATCGCCGCAGTCTCTCCTGTCCGTCCGCCACTGACCTTGCTCGTCCCTCCCTCGCTCTCCGCCCTTCTCAACCGCCCCCTCGTTATCCTTCGTTATCCCTCGTCCTCCCTCCTCTCCCTCACTATCTTCTTGTCTCTGCCTCCCCTCCCTTCCCTCCCTCCCCTGTTTCGCCCACTTCCGACCGTGTCGCCGTGACCTGCAGGTACTATTGCGATTACTGTGACACTTACCTAACTCACGACTCGGTAGGTGTATCACGCATGCTTGGTGACCCTTCCCCTTCTCCCCACCTCTTTTTCTCTCGTCTTCCCATCCCCTTCCTCCAATCCCCTTCCTTCTCTCGGTCCGTACAACCTTTGCCTCTCTCCGTCTATTCCCCCATCTTCCCCTCTTCTCCCCGTCTTTACCTCCGTCGCTCTCCTCACGCTCTCCTCACGCTCTCCTCACGCTCTCCTCACGCTTCCTACCTCTTCTCGCACCGGCCACTGCACGTATAGATCAGGCTTTCTCGACTTCCGAAGTCTGCCGCATCTTGCTCTCTTGTCCTCACGTCCCTTGCCCTCCCCCTGTGCTCTCCTTGCGCTCCCCAATCCCTCCCCATGCTGCAGCCGTCTGTGAGGAAGCAGCACAATGCGGGCTACAAGCACAAGGTAAGGGCTACACGCACATGGTAAGGGTTACAAGCACAAGGTAAGGGCTACAAGCACAAGGTAAGGGTTACAAGCACAAGGTAAGGGCTACAAGCACAAGGTAAGGGCTACAAGCACAAGGTAAGGGTTACAAGCACAAGGTAAGGGTTACAAGAACAAGGTAAGGGTAATTAGGGTTATTTTGTAGGCAAACATAGTGTAGGTACTGACAGAATACCATAGTGACCAGCAGAAGGTAAGGCTTGTAAGAGACAAAGCTTGAGACAAGCTTCAGACAAGCTTGAGACAAAGCTTGAGACAAGCTTCAGACAAGCTTGAGACAAAGCTTCAGACAAGCTTGAGACAAGCTTGAGACAAGACAACATGCATGGCGTTTCACATGGCAGTCCTATTGTCTTCCGATTTCAGGTGTATTCCCGCACTCGTGTTTGTGCTCCGGTCGTTTCCCCCTCCTCCTCTCCATCTCCCCCCTCCACTTCCTTCCCCTCTTCCCTCTCCTCCCCGTGCTCCCTCCCTTCATCTCCCTCACCTCCACTTCCCCCGCCTCCCCTCCCCACACCTCTTCCTTTCCCCCCCAGGCCAACGTGCGCACGTACTACAAGCAGGTCGAGGAGAAGCAGACGCAGTCCCTCAAATTTATTCAAGTCCTCTTCCTCCTCCCCCACCTCGATTCCCCCCACACCCCCGGCCCTATTCTTCCTCCCTCCCCCCCCCCCCCCCACCCCTCAGGCCAACGTGCGCACGTACTACCAGCAGTTTGAGGAGGAGCAGACTCAGTCCCTCATTGACCAGCGAATCCGCGAGCATCTAGGCTCCGTCCCCATTGGCTCCGGCCTCCCCATCGGTGCAGCAGCAGCAGCAGCCGCCGCCGGTGCCCCTCCTGGCGGCTTCCCCCAACAGCTGCTGCGGCCGGGCATGCCCCCCATGGGGCTTCCGGGCATGCCAGGCATGCCTGGCATGCCGGGGATGCCGTTCGGCATGGCCGGTGCTGGCGGGCGGGCGGCTGTGCTGCCGCTGCCCGGGCAGTTCTTTGGCGGGCCGGGGATGCGGCCGCCCATGGGAGGCATGGTGGTGATGCGCCCAGCCAGATGATGGGGAAGGGGAGTGGGCGGAGGGGGGAGGTGGATTGGAGTTTGTGGGACAGGAGGAGAGAGGAGGGGTGGAACTGGTTCCAGTGCTGCGGTTTTGTGGTCGAATCTGGGGCGCCCGGGGGATGAGCCCCCCCCATGGGCGGAATGATGTGACCTGTCAGATTGAGTGGAGAAGGAGTGGGCGGAGCGACTATCGCCAGCTGGCGGAGGGAAGGAGTGGGGCGGTCAGGTGGACAGGAGTAGGGAGGGAGGGAGGGAGGGAGAGGGGGAAGAGGGGGAGGGGGTAGGTTAGGGGGAGGGAGTAGATAGGGAGGGAGAGGAGGGGGTGATGAAGACGACTATGTGCAACAGGAGGAATGGGGGATGTGTGTGGGACCTGTGGTGGCACTACCGTTGTAGTGGTGATCTAACCCAAGCGCGCATCTGTGAGGGGTGCTCATAACGGCTTCCTCCACTGCGGATAACAGTTGTATGGCAGCATGCTGTGCAGCACTCGCACTCAGATCGGACATGTGTCCGTTACACCTTAGAACCGTGTTTCTTTCTACTGCTCGTCTCTACTGCTCGGCCACGGAAGAGAGCACGACACCGCTGTAGCAGCAGAACCATGGAATGGAAGAGGTCAAGTGGCTGTCACAGCCAGTAACTGGTGTGATGGTCCTCTCTGACTGACCAGCCAACCAGAGGAGGGGGGGAGCTCTTCATTTCTGAATGTTGCCTTGCCGTAGCTTTCCTACCATTCGCCATGTTGCTCTTCATTTGGTTTGGTTGTATGTGTTTAAGTACTCTGGTTCACTTCAATGGTACGGTATGTATGATGGGAACTGACTGGCGGTTACTGATTCGCCTCTTACAGTAATAATTCAGTTACCGGTACCATAGCCATGGCGGGGACGAAAGGGTTTAGCAAGAGAGGGAGTTGACGAGAGAAAAGAGAGAGAATAGAAGAGAAGAGGATACAAGGGGGGGTGTTGTACCCTCTACAGTAGGTTTCAGTAACAGTTACCAAGCCTACAATTATGTAACAAATATATAATTTAACACATACGTCATTCCAGATCACTGCAAAGCAAAGCACCGTTTCGCATTGCAGTAGGCCACCCACCGCATCCAAGCCAACTGCTGGGACCGCGACGGGGATTTGGAGTGAGCATGCAGAGCAAAGGGATGGTGAGGGGGATGTGTCTTCCCCCAGGGCCTCAGAAGTCAGGCCGAAAAGGCCTGAAAGCCTGTATATCAGGGTGTTTTCTAGAGCATACCCTGATTTTTCAGGTTTTGATTTTTATCAAACCTGAAATTTATGTGTTCCCATTTTCTAAGGCCTGAAAAATAGTATGTTCTTGTTTTACCGAGTCTGACGAATCAGCCTTACTCGAAATTCGCTCTGAATCTGAATCTTATCTGCCAAGGCGAGCTAGAGCACGTGTGAGGGGCATGGCTGGTCCTTGACCAGAATCACGCAAGTTCAAGGCGAGGTGGGGCAGGTGTGAAGGGCATGATTGGTCCTTGACAAAAAATGACGCAAGTTCCAGGTGAGCTAGAGCAGGTGTGAGGGGCATGATTGGTCATTGACCACAATCACGGAACTTCAAGGCGAGCTACAACAGGTGTGGGGGGTGTGACTGGTCCTTGACTAGAATCACACAAGTTCCAGGCGAGCTGGAGGAGGTATGAGGGGGTTGATTGGTCCTTAGTAAAAATCAGGCAGGAATCTGACGAGAAGAATTGTACGCAGTGAAGTCCGATCCGACCTAAGAATCAGAAAGTACAAAAATGTAGGCCTGATAAGTCAGACTCAAAAAAACAATTGGCCTGAAAAAACATGCCACGCCCACAACCCGACCCTGAAAAACATGGGCTCTCACATGGGCGACCCTGAACAATCAGTCTTCCAAAAACCAATCTGAGGGCCTGGTCTCCCGTGTTCTCCCTTCTTCTATTCATTCTTTCTAGTCTTAACATGGTATCACGAGTTGGTAGGTCCACCCACCCGTTTCCCCCCCGTGCCGCCACCTACCGGACCCTTGCCGCCACCTACCGGACCCTTCTCTAAAGTGAGACCGGGCGGAAGGCCGAGGAGGGCGCAAGTGGGTCGGTGGACGCGGGAGGAGCCAGCGGACGTGCAAGGGGCCGAGGCACACGAGGGGCCGGCCAGGCGTGTGAGAGGCCGGGCAAGTGCGGGAAGGGCCGACGCGTGATAGGAGCCGGCAAGGCGCGTGGGGCCGGCAGTGTGAAGGAGGGGCCGGCTAGGCGGTAGGGGTCGGCTAGGCGCGAGGGGCCGGCTGGGTGAGAGGGGCCGGCTAGGCGAAAGGAGCCGGCTAGGCGCGAGGGACCGGCCGCCGCGTGAGTGGGGCCGGCTAAGCGCGGGGGGGGACCGGCTAGGCGCGAGGGGCTGACTAGGCGCGAGTGGGGCCGGCTGCACGCCAGGGGTCGGCTACAGTGCGAGAGGGGCTGGCTAGGTGCGAGGGGCCGGCTACGGCGCGAGGGGGCCGGCTACGGCACGAGGGGCCGACTACGGCGGGAGAGGGGTCGGCTGGGCGCGTAGGGGATCGGCTAGGCGCGAGGGGTCGGCTAGGCGTGAAAGGGGCCGGCTGGGCGCGAAGTGGCCGGCTAGGCGCGCGGGGTCGACTAGGCGCGTGAGGGGCCGGCTGGGCGCGTGAGGCCGGTGGACACTCTAGGGGCCGACGAGGTGCGGTAGGCTAGGGTGCGAGGCGGAAGCGGGTGGGGGGGGGTCTAACCTGTTAGAAGACTAACTTAGCTATGAAGGAAGGGGGCCATGAAATGGCGAGAAGTTTAGGAGCTAGGAGCTAGGAGAGAAAGTTGAGAGAAAAGAGAGACTAGGAAGAGAGAGGCATACAAGGAGGGAGTTGTACCCTCTACAGTAGAGTTTGGTAACCTACCAAGCCCATAAATTATATAACACAATATATAATTTAACACACCCCCTAGGCTTGGTAGTCACAAGCCCACCACCACATGCAACACCTTTAAGCCTAGCACCCCCATACCCTGCAGCAGAGGTGACTACAAGGAAGGAAGGCGCTAGGCATCCTCGAGCTGCGGAGGGGCGGAGCCGGCTGGCGTTGCGAGCTGGGACCGACGCTGCGAGCTGGGTCCGACGTGGCGAGCTGGGTCTGTTGGGACCGACGCGGCGAGCTGGGCCCGACGTAGCGAGCTGGGTCCAACGTAGCGAGCTGGGTCCGACGCGGCGAGCAGGGTCTGACACGACTAGCTGAGGAGACGCGGCAAGCTGGAGTACGAGCTTGCTGCCTAGTGCCTAAACCAGTGCGCAGCCCACTGCCGCCCGTGCGCTGACGCGACGACTGCGGCACGACGGAGCCACGACGAAGCCGCTGCGTCAAGGCTGACAAAGCCGCCATGGCAGCACGACACGGCCGCCACAGCGACGTGACGGGGCCGGCGCGGAGTGACGGGGCCAACGCGAAGTGACGGGGCCAGCGCATAGTGACGGGGCCGGCACGGAGTGACGGGGCCAGCGGAAGTGACGGGGCCAGCGCGGAGTGACGGGGCCGGCGCGAAGTGACGGGGCCGGTGAGGCGAGACCGGGCCAGCGCTGCGTGACGGGGCCAGCGCGGAGTGACGGGGCCGGCACGGCGTGACGGGGCCGGCGCGGAGGGATAGGGCCAGCGCGGCGTGACGGGGCCGGCGCGGCGAGACGGGGCCAGCCTGGCATGACGGGGGGGGGGGGGGGGGGGGGGAGTACGCTACGGAAGCGTGAGGAGAAGGCCCGAGCGAAAGGGGCCTGCTCTGAAACCATGTTAGAAGACTAACTTAGCTAGGAAGGAAGGGGGCTTTGAAATGGCGAGAGGTTTAGGAGCTAGGAGCTAGGAGAGAAAATTGACGAGAGAAAAGAGGAGAGACTAGGAAAAGAGAGGCATACAAGGAGGGAGTTGTACCCTTTCCATTAGAGTTCGTTAACCTACCAAGCCTACCAAATATATAATACAATACATAATTTAACATAACCTACTCATGATACCATATTAGAATACTATTATTATTAGAAAGAAGAGAGAACAAGGGAGATATAGGGTTTGGGTTGTACTCTCTAAGAACACACACCTATTCTAGCCTATAACTTCTACATACAATGTATGTATAAAATGACAGTACTTGTCAGAATGAATAATTACTAGAATGGGGAGATACAAGGCAATATAGACTAGTGAGCTGTACCCACTAAGGCACAAACATATATAGTCTACAGTAACTGCATAAGTTATGTTTGACACACCCCCTAGACTATATAGAGGCAATTCCTAATAAGGGAAGAAGCAGCTCAGGGCGGCACTACTAGTCCAGCCTCTGAGACAAGGGTCTAAAGACCAGTCACAAGGAGTACAGACAAGGCAAGAGCAAGACCACGGCGGCACTACTAGTCCAGCCACTGGGAGAGGCCACAAGGCCAGTCACGATAAAAAATATATATATAAAGGACAGTACAAAGTCAAGGCCCTAGCAAGCGAGAGGCTACAGGAACAAGACCTAGCTGTACACTGTGCCGCTGAAGATCTTTAGGTGCAAGCACTGTCATAAAGATATCAGCTGTATTGGCACTGGAGGCCAAGTGTACTACGCGCGCTAGGCGGCGCCGCTGGAGCTCAAGAAAGAGGAAGTACCGCAGCTGAATGTGCTTCGCTCTGCCCTCGAGTCGAGGCTCCTGACACAGGAGGATCATGGCCCTGTTGTCAGCGTACACGACCGGGGCAGAGCTAGGCCGCTCACCTAAGTCAGTGAGCAAGAAGGTCAGCCAGCGGAGCTCCTGTGCCGCCATGGCACCGGCGTAGATCTCGGCCTCACAGCTGGACTGGGCAACAGACGAGGAGCGGGTAGCTCTCCACGAGACAACACCTTAACCAAGGCTGAAGTAGTAGCCCTGCGAGGACCTGAGGGTCTCAGCGTCGTCTGCCCAAGAAGCGTCTGTGTGTCCAGTAAGGACCACAGGCCTGCGTCCTCCTAGCACTAACTCGATGCCCGATGTACTTGCAAGATAACGCAAAACCCTCTTAGCGGCAGACCAGTGCTGAGGTCGGTGTCTGCCTGTAGCTACAAAGCAAGCCAGGATGCTGAGAGGGTATGCAAGATCTGGGCGAGTGCAAGTCATCAGGTACATGAGGCAACCCACCAGCTCTGCGTAAGGACCACTGGGCTCTGCTGACTCCTCAAGAACTAGAGCGGAGACCTTGTGGTCTAGAGGCAGAGGAGTGGGTAGTGCGGAGGAGAACTGAAGGCTGAACCTCTGAAGGACCTGGCGCACCAAGTGTGACTGAGTCAAAGTGATGGTGCTCGCTGCTCTGTCTCTAGAGATCTGCAAGCAAAGATAGTGGCGCAGTTCTCCAAGGTCAGTGCAGGTGTGTCTCTTCAACAGCTCTGCCTTCATGGAGGCCAGTGCGTCCCTGTCTGCCGTGGCGAAGACCAGGTCTTCTACATAAACAATAATGTAGAACAGGGTCTGGCCAGCACAAACGAAGAGCGAGGGGTCTACAGAGGACGGAAAGAACTGCAGGCGAGCAAGTGTAGTACGCAGCGTGTCGTGCCACTCACGGGGAGCCTGCCGCAGGCCGTAGACGGGGCGCCGAAGGAGCCACTGGTTCCCAGGAGGGAAGGTACCAGTGAAGCCCTGAGGGCGACGCAGGTAGACCTGCTCCTGTAGACTGCCCTGAAGAAACGCAGTGGAGAAGTCGAGGGAGTGAAGCTCGTAGTCACGCTAAGCTGCTACGTGTAGTAGCACCCGAAGAGTTGTCATCTTCGGGGTCGGAGCGAAGGTCTGGAAGAAGTCCACCCCCTCACGCTGACTGAAACCTCTAGCCACGTAGCGCGCCTTGAACACAGGCGGCTCTCCAAAAGGGCGCTTCACCTTGAAGAGCCAGCGGCCATCGACTACTTTCACCCCAGGTGGGAGAACTGCGTCGACGTAGGTGCCGGTGGATCTCCAAGATGCCATCTCCTGCTCCATGGCAGCTATCCATTGAGAGGCCCAGGGTCCCGAGATCGCCTCAGCGTAAGTGCGAGGGGTCGAGATGTTGAAAGCCTCGGGGTCACCCTCAGGGTTTAGAACCATAGAGCAGAGGTGGGGAGCAGCCTTGGACAGGAAAGCAAGCTCGTACTGGCGGTCCTCCAGGACGTCAGTTCCGAGGGCAGGAGCACCCCCGACAGACGGAGGACAGGCAGGGTCACAGACCAGAGCGGTGGCGTAGTCAAGGCGACGGGTAGAGGCGAAGTCAGCGACCGCAGCGACAAGGGCGTCAAGACACAAAACCGGAACAGACTGGTCGGTAACGAGAGAGGCAAGGACCCGAGAAACAAGAAGACGAGCGGCACGCAGGTAGTCAGACAGAGGGGGGGGAGCAACGACAAGGGAGGACGGAGGGGGTGACGGGAGAAGGGGAGGATGAGACGCGTGGGAATGAAGCAACATAGGGTGAGAGCGCGAGACTGGGGAGACAGGTCGAGCACGGGAGGGACGGCGAGACCAAACGTGAGACGGAGGAGTCAGGTCAGGAGACAGATGAGGGGACACTAGAGGGGAACGAGGGGGTAAACGGGCCGGAGACGAGTCCGGAGGAGGGAACACAGGGCTATAGACAGGAGGAGGAGGAGGAGGAGGAGGAGGAGGAGGAGGAGGAGGAGGAGGAGGAGGAGGAGGAGGAGGAGGAGGAGGAGGAGGAGGAGGAGGAGGAGGCACAGGCATGGGGTCAGGGGAAGGAAGGCCGAGCAGGCGAAGAGCGGACACCGGCGGGGACTGCTGCGGCGGTGGTGTGACACCGACACCGGGACCGCAAGCTGCCTAGCAGCTACCTCTGGAACACTCCACGCCAGCACCCCCAGAGGCAACGAACTGCAGAGGCGATGGCTGCGGCGGCGGCGGCCGCGGTGCCGACGGCTGCGACAGCTGTGGTGACGGCGGCTGCGACAGCGGTGGGGACGGCGGCTGGGGAGGCGGCGGAGGAGGAGACACCTGCAAAGGGGCAGGCGGTGAGGACTGCGTCGAAGGACCACTAGAATCAGCAGACTCCTCAACCCGGACAACCGACGGAAGTGGGGTGACATGGGACACACCAGAGGGGGCAGGACGGGGAGGGGGAGGAGGAGGGGCGGCGACGACCGAGGAAGGGGTGACCAGGAACAGGGGGGGGGTAACAGGGGGACCGCAGTGGGGGAAGCGGCGGAAGAAGGAGAGAGACTCGTCAAAGATGACGTCGCGAAAGTGAAAGAACTGGTGAGACGGCGGGTGGTAGAAGTGCCAGTCACACGTGTCAAGGGGGAAGCCGAGGAAGACACAGAGAGGGGTGCGGGCAGTGAGCTTGTCTGTGCCAGAGGCACGAACGTGAGCAAGGCAACCCCAGACGTGGAACATTGAAGCGTCCCCAGGGGACCCAAACAAAAGAAGGGTTGACGAAACCTGAGGCTGCTGGGGGTGCGGCCACAGGTTAAGCTAGTGAGTGGCATAGCGAACGGCCACAGAAAATGGGGTGCACTGGCATGGATCATGGAGGTGCGAGCCACCTCCATGACCAAACCGATGCGTCGCTCAGCGATCCCATTCTTCTGCGGGGAGACCGGCAAGGTGAACGTCTGGGTGATGCTCTCCGCATGACAGAAACGACCAAGGACACCAGAGGCAAACTCGCCACCACGGTCGGAGTGGAGGCGCAAGACAGGGAAACCGCGGCGGACACGTGCAACGACAACCCATGGGATGAGAACGCCAGGCACGTTGGCCTTCCGCTCCAAGGGGAACACAGTGGTGTAGCGCGTGTAGTCGTCGACAAGCACTAGGAAGTAGCGCTCTCGACGCGGCCCATGGACGGGGGCGGGGCCCCAGACGTCCATGTGCAAAGTCTGTAGCGGTGCTGCAGTAGGGGGAAACGAGGAGGAGTGAGGGGCACGGCGGAGCTGGCCCTTGACACAGGGCGTGCAAGGTGGGGCTGGGGAGGAGGGAAACTGGGGGAACGACTCGGGGAGGCCTAGGACGAGACCGTGCTGTGACATGTGACACAGACGGGGGAGCGCAGGGTGACCTAGGTGGTGGTGCCAGAGAAGAGCCAAGTGAGTGAGAGACTGACAGGAGCAGGCAGCAGCAACCGGGGGAGACGCAGTCACCTGAGGGGGGGTCCCAGCCGGGGGGGTCAGTGTGTCCAGTGTGAAAAGACCGGACACCGGGTCCCGTGGGAACGTAGACAGGGGGCCACCAGTGGCGGCCTCGGTACAGACAGCGAACCGCTCGTGTCCAGGGAACGTAGTGGTGACGCCAAGGTCCTGAAGGCGGCCGACACCAACTAGGTTCATGGAGAACGAGGGGATGTGCAGTCGTGTGAGCGAGCCCAAAGGAACCGCCGGGCAGGGGAGGGTGGTGGAACATTGGGCGACTACTGGGCCGGACGCCACGTCAGCAAGAGAGACTGCGGCAGGGACAGGAAGCGGTGTCAATGTGGTGGAGTCGCGGAAGAAGCACCAGGATGCGTCGGAGTCGAGGGTGAAGGAGAGCGCGGTAGTGGCGGCCGGAGGCAAAGCAGTGATGGAAGCACCAAGGCTAAACAAAGCAGGGGATCCTACGCCTGACACAAAAGGGGAGTCTAAGCAAGGCACACCTACACTAGGCAACAAGGGGTAACAAGATGGAAGCACACTAGAGTCATCAGCATACATCATATGCAGAGCTTAAACAATCTCATCCATATCCAGATCAAAAATATGAACCCTACGACGAAGCAAGCTGTGCCAGTCTGGGAGCTCGGGCGATTGGCCAAAGCACTCACAAAACAGGTTGTCCAGGCGACGGAAACAGTGGACGGAGGTGTGACCGATCTTACCGCAAACGAAGCCACGGCAAGGACCGGTCTGGAGCAGGAACTGGCAGCGCGCGTCACCCGAACCACCACCCGGCAGTCCACCACACGCACCACCACCACGTCCAGCGCTACCACCAGCGCCAGGCCACCCGGGCGGGAGACCACTCGCCCGTCTCTGCTACTGCTGCGCCTGCTGCGGCTGCTGCAACTGCTGCGGCTGCGGCTGCTGCTGCGGCTACTGCGGCTGACGCGGGGCCGGCTGCAACACCGGGGGCTGCGGAGACGGCTGCTCGGCTGCACCCGTCAGGGTCCCCTCATCCGCACTACCGCCGAAAGACCCAGCTCCAGCACCACCTACACCTGCACCCCCACCCCCGCCGCCACGCCCAGCCTTGGGGCGGCGACCCTTCCCCTGCTAATAGCAATCTATGCGACAGCGTCACGGGAAAGCCAGACAGAGCAGGCAGCGGACTCACGCTCAGCGGACGAGGGGTCAGGAGACAGTGCAACGGGGGGGTCAGTGCAGGGGAGGGTACCGTCAAGATGGACAGACAGTGAGTGGCCATCCTGCCGCTGACCAGTGAGGTGGCGATGGAGGTCAGCAAGACACGCATCAAACTCAATCGGCTGGCCCTCTGCGTCAAAGCGAAGCACATTCGCCATCAGTGACACTAGAGGGCAGTACAGTAGAGGCGGGGCCGGCTAGGAGCTGGCGCGACAGCGAGTAGAGGCGGCCGCGACGACGGATAGACACGGCCGCAACGGCGGCCAGGGACAGCCGCGACGTCGGCTAGGGGCTGCCGCGACGGCGAGGAGCAGGCGCGACGGCGGCTAGGGGCGGGCGCGACGGCGAGGGGCGGCCGTGGGACGGCGGGAAACGACCGCGACGGCGGCTAGAGGCAGCCACAACGGCTCAGGGCGGCCGCGACGACAGCTGGCGGCGACCGCGACGGCGAGTGGGTCGGCTAGGGGCGGGCGCGAACGGCCAGAGGGCCAGCTAGGGGCGGGCGCGACAGCCAGGGGGCCAGCTAGGGGCGGGCGCGACGGCCACGGGGGCGGCTTGGGGCGGGCGCAACGGCCAGGGGGCCAGCTAGGGGCGGGCGCGACGGCGGCTAAGGCCTAGGGGCGGAAGCGTGGGCCAGCTAGGGGCGGGCGCGACGGCCAGGGGGCCGGCTAGGGGCGGACGCGACGGCCGGGGGGCCGGCTAGGGGCAGGCGCGGTGGCCAGGGGGCCAGCTAGGGGCGGGCGCAACGGCCAGGGGGCCGGCTAGGGGCGGACGCGACGGCCAGGGGGCCAGCTAGGGGCGGGCGCGACGGCCAGGGGGCCAGCGAGGGGCGGGCGCGACGGCCAGGGGGCCAGCTAGGGGCGTGCACGACGGCCAGGGGGCCAGCTAGGGGCTGGCGCGACGGCCAGGGGGCCGGCTAGGGGCGGATGCGTCGGCCAGGGGGCCAGCTAGGGGCGGGCGCGACGGCCAGGGGGCCAGCTAGGGGCGGGCGCGACGGCCAGGGAGCCGGCTTGGGGCGGGCGCAACGGCCAGGGGGCCAGCTAGGGGCAGGCGCGACGGCGGCTAGGGATTAGGGACGGAAGCGTGGGCGAGCTAGGGGGGGGGGGACCTAACCTTCTATGATACCATATCAGAATGAATAATTACTAGAATGGGGAGATACAAGGCAATATAGACTAGTGAGCTGTACCCACTAAGGCACAAACATATATAGTCTATAGTAACTGCATAAGTTATGTTTGACAGTACTCAGCATCAGTGATGCTTCCTCTCTGAGCATTCAGTGATAATTCCTCTCTGAGCATTCAGTGATGCTTCAGCGTTCACTGGTAGTACATCTTGCCCAAGTTCCAGCACAAGGATGTTGAAACAAAAGAGGTTCTGTTCTGTTCGATCACAAATGAGACCCCAAGGGGCCATCTCAACCCATTATTCCAGTGTCATGACTTCAGACCTGTCGTACACATCTTTCTACAACCATGTCTAATCCGTCTTCTTCACACAGCTGCCACGCCCGCAACCCCCCCAGCCCCCCCAGCCGGGGCCACACCCCACCGTGAGCACAGCATTTCCAAGGCCATGAATTCCAAGGGCTCGTGCAGGGGACCTCGGGGTTGCTGTCCATTGGTGTGCCGCTGGTCTAACTACCGAGTTGCAGCCCTGCCCTGCTGTCAAAGGTCCAGGACCTGGGGTGGTTGGAGTAGGGGGGCTCGGGGTTCCAGGTCCAGGGGCGGCCGTTGATCTTGCCGGTTCGGGGCACATAGCCCCCGCCCACGTACAGGTCTCTGCGGCTCCAGATGTTGGCGATCTTACACAGCTGCACTCCCTTGCCGCGGTACGGCTTGTTGGCGCACTTCTTCAGCTCGCTCACCCAGTAGCGGTACCCCACCGACTCCAGCCATGGGTTGCCAAACGCCATGCGGCCAAACGCCATGAAGTTGGGGCCCGGACACGTGATGCCCAGGCTGGTGTACGGCGTCTTCTTCTCGTCCCAGTAGTAGGCCGACTCGAACACCTCGAGGCGGTGGCACGCGCACGAGTAGTTGAACCAGACGCCCCAGCCCACATCCGACTGGCACACAAACTCCTTCGTCATCTCGTTCGTAAACGCCTGCGCGCCAGGCCACTGGCTCGCCGCCACCAGCACCGCGCACAGCAGCGCCAGGCGCACGGAGAGCGTACCCATTTTGGAGACTAACTCTCAGCAAGGGAGATCGTTGGAGACTAGAGGAGTGAGACACAGTTGAGTTTATGATCAAAATGTCGCCCTGAAGGTATGCATTTATGCATCGTCGGCTCAGTAGAAACGGCGAATCGCGCGAAGACGCGGCTCGCTGAAGCTAAGGAGGATAGTGGGGAGGAATTCATGTGAAATGGCGGCTCGTGTTTGGTTGCAAAAGATTAGGTGGAGGTTGCGACGAGTGAAAGGGACGGTTGATCTCCTGCAAGAGGTTGCCAACCGCTGTTCCGCATAAAAGGCCGTCCCGACTCACGAGTCCTGGAGATTTCGAGAATGAAGTACACTTTTTATGGAAGCAATATAAAGATTTTGTAAGATCTGTATTATTTGATCAGCTGCAAGTTGGTGGCACAACGGCTTTCAGATGCCCGCGTGGCATGATGTGTGGTAACCTCAGAATTCGGCTCGCGGTTGAGACTTTCGTCAAAGTGCGAGCTCCAGATGGCAAGATCTCAGCGATGGCCTCGTCTTACGTGGCTTGGTGGCGGATAGGGCTCCGCGTCCCCCACACTGTATTACCATGCGGAATTCCGCCAAACCACCTTCTGGCTGGTGGCTCTCGGCAACTTTGGAGGCCGCGGGGCGGAAGCAATCGGGAAAGTATCAGTGGCGTTCCGCGCGTTCCTCGCAGCTTGGGCTCCCGCTGGGGTGATTGGCTTCCTCTCGCTTTCCCGCGCATCCCTCTTTCCGCATTCCTCCCCCCCGCCTCTGTGTCCCTCGGGATCTCCTTTCCCCTCCGACCGTCCCTTTGCTTCCCTTCCCTCCCACCACCACCAAGCGCTCCTCTAGCCTCATCCTGCTCTTGCTCCAATCCCTCAGCTGTCGCTCCTTGTTCCTAGTCCGAACGTCCGACTAGGTGACTAGCTGCAATGGCTGCCGTCGCTTCCTCCATGGCCACCGGCCTGTCCGTCAAGGGCCTGAACACCGCCTTTATCGGCGGAAAGAGCCTCAGGTCGGCTGCTAAGCTGCCGTCAGTCGTGAGCGCCGCTAGGCTGGTCGCGGAGGCCCGGCAGGAGAAGGCCGTCAGCAGCTCGTCCGTCGCATCCGCCGCGTCGTCCGTCGTCGAGGGGATCTTCGGCGAGAAGGCGACGAGGCAGATGCACTACTCGGCGATCGTTGCGATGAATGCGATGATCGCGATGCCGGCGTTCGCGGAGGAGGAGAAGGGCAAGATCTTCGACTTCAACCTGACGCTCCCCATCATCACCGTGCAGTTCCTGCTCCTCATGGTCATCCTCGATAACGTCTGGTTCAAGCCCGTCTCCAAGGTCATGGACTCCCGCGACGAAGACATCAGGAAGAAGCTGATCGGCGTGAGGGACAACTCGGGCGAGCTGAAGGATCTCCAGAGCCAGGCCGAGGCGCTGATCAAGACGGCGCGCGCGGAGGCGTCGGGGAAGATGAACGCGATGAAGAAGGAGGTGGCGGCGGAGCTGGACGCGAAGCTGCAGGCGTACCGGGCGAGGATCGAGAAGGAGCTCGAGTCGTCGCTCGCCAACCTGGAGACGCAGAAGCAGGCGACGCTCAAGAGCCTCGACTCGCAGGTGTCGGCTCTTAGCGACGAGATCGTGAACAAGGTCATCCCCTTCAAGGCGTGAAGCGGGGAGTTGTGATACTTGAATGTCTGGTGCATTGCATGTCCATTATAAGCCCAAAATTCTGATAAAACTGCATACCACTCATAGGTCACGCTGGTCCTGACGTCACGTCACGTGCTTTGGGTGGCACAAACAGAGCTGGCTAGCTGTGGGAAAGGAGACGAAACGCCTAACCGTATCAAGTTAGAGATGGACGTTAGGGCAATAAGGGATCTGCCTAGGGAGAACGCCTCTGATCCAAAAAGAATGCTGAGCAATGTGCGGCTAGCTGAACCAGTTCTGAGAGGCCTGACCTTACCAGTATCTGGAACCAAGATTAACATCATCTTGTCCCAGTAGGTATCCACAGCTCGTCTGCCTGAAGTAGTGCAACTAAGTAGACACCTCAATGGAGCATGTATCTGCATCACCTAGAGCTCATCCTTCACTTCCTGTGACGCACTTGCTGCATCCTCCTCACCTCTGCCACGGTCAACACCCGCTCCACTGCCCCCCTCCAAGTCTCGTCTCAGCTCCTCCTCCTCTGCCTTCCCAATAACATCTGCTGCTGCCACATCCCCTTCAGCTGCAGCACCCCCCTCCTTCCTCTCCACTCCCTCCTTCGCTTCACCCTCCCCTCTCTCCCCCTCTGCCACCTCCCCCTCTCTCACCACGCACGCGTCCCACGTGGCCCTGCCAGCGCTCTCGGCGTCCTTCCTGCTGGTCTGCCACGTGGCGTGCACCGCCATCTTGTGCGGCGGTTTCGAGTAGGACGCGATGAGCTGCAGCTCCGTATCGCCATCGTTCGCAATCTGAGGGGATGTGATGTGCGGGAGGGGCAAGTGGCACAAGAAGGATGGAGGTTGGGAGCACGAGTAGAGTGACAAGGAGAGAGACCACAAGAAGGATGGAGGTTGGGAGCACGAGTAGAGTGACAAGGAGAGAGACCACAAGAAGGATGGAGGTTGGGAGCACGAGTAGAGTGACAAGGAGAGAGACCACAAGAAGGATGGAGGTTGGGAGCACGAGTAGAGTGACAAGGAGAGAGACCACAAGAAGGATGGAGGTTGGGAGCACGAGTAGAGTGACAAGGAGAGAGACCACAAGAAGGATGGAGGTTGGGAGCACGAGTAGAGTGACAAGGAGAGAGACCACAAGAAGGATGGAGGTTGGGAGCACGAGTAGAGTGACAAGGAGAGAGACCACAAGAAGGATGGAGGTTGGGAGCACGAGTAGAGTGACAAGGAGAGAGACCACAAGAAGGATGGAGGTTGGGAGCACGAGTAGAGTGACAAGGAGAGAGACCACAAGAAGGATGGAGGTTGGGAGCACGAGTAGAGTGACAAGGAGAGAGACCACAAGAAGGATGGAGGTTGGGAGCACGAGTAGAGTGACAAGGAGAGAGACCACAAGAAGGATGGAGGTTGGAGCCCCAGATACACAAATGATCCGGGATAGCAGAAGCGAATGGCGGATATGGGTGGTAGCGGATCCAGGAATCACCTGGTGCAGCGCCTTGGGGTGGAAGGTGACGGTGGTGTTCCTCTTGACCTCATGTGACGATGGCTCTGCCTTCTTGTCCTCCACCACCAGCACCTTGCCCACTCCCCTCGTGAACACCACCACCTCCTCCTGGCGCCACCACGCAGCAGCCAGCAGCCAGCAACCAGCAAACAGCAGACAGCAGACAGCAAAACACAGAAAACACCCACACCACACACGCGCAAGTCAGGCATACAGCCATGGTCCATGAATGACAGAGGGCAAGTGACGGAGCCAGGGAAGACCCATAAAGAAAGAGAGGGCCCATGGGAGCCCGTAGGGATTAGGCTTGGTGGCTGTGTGAGCACCTGCGGGTGTGAGTGTATGGGGGTCTTGACTCACTTGGGGGAGTAAGTGTATGGGGGTCTTGGCTCACCTGGGGGTGTGAGTGTATGGGGGACTTGACTCACCTGGGGGTGTGAGTGTATGGGGGTCTTGACTCACCTGCGGGTGTGGGTGTATGGGGGTCTTGACTCACCTGGGGGTGTGAGTGTATGGGGGTCTTGACTCACCTGCCGGTGTGAGTGTATGGGGGTCTTGGCTCACCTGCAGGTGTGATTGTATGGGGTTCTTGGCTCACCTGCGGTGTCGCATCCCCTCTTCCCGTTGGCCCTGCACTCCCCTTTAGACCGGCTTCTCTGGTGCCTTTTCTTTCCTCCTCCGATACGTGATCGTTGCTGATTTCTCCCGCTCTAAAGAAAAGCTCTAAGAAAGCTTTCTTAACTCGCAACCACCCTGTCTGGCCTCTCTACATAGTTCCAGCTGTGCTCCCGAATGAATCCATTACTCACGGAGCATACACGCTTTCGTATGACAACGAGAGAACAAACACAGGTAGCTACACAACTACGCGCACACAGTTTTGTGGCTACCTCCTCGCAGATCCACTCCGGAGCGCGTACCCTTCCCTCCCATGTAACCAGCCTCAAACCGTTTCGGGGGTTTTCTCCTCCGTGATGGCTCCGTGCAGCCAACCATCGACGCTGCCTCTCGCCAGGCTGCATGCCTCTTCCCCGGGCCGCCCTCGTCACAGCTGACCTGTACCCTTCCCACCTGTCCCATTGCCAACGGTCGAAGCGCCCTACTGCTCCCATGTCGGCGTGCGCACCCATCACTGTACCTTCCTTTTGTTGACATTACCCAGTACACCACTTGGCTTCCCAACCATTTCGCTTAAACTTCCCGAGCTGTCCCACGAATTTCGATAACACATTTGTTATGTCAAATCGTGCGACAGCGGGTGTGAGTGTATGGGGGTCTTGACTCACCTGCGGGTGTGAGTGTATGGGGGTCTTGACTCACTTGGGGGAGTAAGTGTATGGGGGTCTTGGCTCACCTGGGGGTGTGAGTGTATGGGGGTCTTGACTCACCTGCGGGTGTGGGTGTATGGGGGTCTTGGTCCACCTGGGGGTGTGAGTGTATGGGGGTCTTGGCCCACCTGCGGGTGTGAGTGTATGGGGGTCTTGGCCCCCGGAGCGAACGTCATCATGAAAACCTCCACGTGCTTCAGCCCGTGCTGCACTTTGCCGCCCAAAGTGATCACCGATACGCCCTCCATGCCATAGCTGTCTGCAGGGGTGTAAGTATTGGTTAAAATACACTGAAAGCTTGAATGAGGGAGGGGAGAGGAGAACTGCCACGTGTTCAGCCCGTGCTGCTGCACACTGTCGCCCAGCGTTATCATGCCCACGCCCTCCATGCCGTAGCTGTCTGCACGGGGGAAGGGGGGGGGAGGGGGGGAAAGGGGGGGGGTGTGGAGGGGAAGGGAAGTTATGGTGAGATGGGAAGCGTGGTGGGGAGGGAATCTATAGGGACGAAGTGGGTGGGTGGTAAGGAAGGGCATCGCTCCGCATTCTTCAGCACCGGCTGCACTTTGCCGCCCAAATTGTCACCGCCACTCCCTCCATGCGTGGCTGTGTGCAGGCAGGGGAGATTGGGGATAGGGTGGGTGGACGGTAACGACACGGGAGAGTGGAAAAACATGCGTGTGGAAGTGCCTCGGTTCCCAGAATTTTAATCTCGCGGGTACGCCGGAGGAGCCAACGGCAGACCGAGCTACCTTGATACAGGGTCGGGATTTCGCGCACAATAGGTCCTTTCGACAGGTCCTCGCAGTACGGCTCGGGATCCGCGACTACTGCTGGCCCTGCTGCCGCTGCTTCCGCTGCCGCGCCTGCTGCCGCTGCTTCCGCTGCTGCCGCTGCCTCTGTTGTCTGCGCTGCCGAATGGTCTGTCGCGTGAGCCTCTGACAAGTCAGCAGCGACGAGCGCAGGCGACGCTCCAAGAGACGCCGCCAGAAGGAGCCCGACGACGAGCCACCGTCTCGCGGCGACGGGAACGGAATCGTGAGCGACGATCGGAGCCATGACGTCGCACACTGGAGTTCGGCACTAGCTTGGCAGGAGTGTAGTGAATGTGCTGATGACCATGAAGGGCTTGAGCTCGTGGAAGGAGATTGTGGCACCTTCCGGAATATGATGTCCCCTCGTACGCGTTAGTAGGACACGATGCACAAAATGCGGCACATATTTTGGTCTTCCGATTTCCACAAGTTCTACCACTAGCTCATATAATATATAAAAAAAGCCACCTCTTTCTAGTGATAACTCATCACATGCCATACGACTGTGCATGCAAGAGGAATAGAGGATCACACCACAGGACATCCTTATCCCAACGCACTCCCACCCCATCTCCCTCCCCAGTCCCATCATCGCCATTCGCTTGAATCACGTCCGACAGCACGCTGGCAAGGATGGGGTTCACAGGCATCCCCTGCAGCTTCCCTGCTGCCGCCCTTATCAGCTCCCATGTCCTCTGTATGTCCTTGCCTGTTGCACGCGACAAGCTTGCTGCTGTCTCGCATTCACTCCCATCCCCACCGTTGCTTTCACAGCTTTGCTCCACTAACTGTGCAATTCCCTTATTTCCCCAACCCAGTGGAAGATGCTTGGCACTCACAGCTGCTGAAAATGACAATTTGCTAAGTGCCCACAAGCCCAGCAGCGGCCGGATCAGGGCAGAAAAAGAATCCTGGTGAAACGTGGGGCCGCCCACCCACCTCATCGTTTCAAACAGCTGGGCAGCTTGGGCAGCCTCAGAGAAAAACCGACCTGCAAAGGTCAGCTTCCAGGTGGCCAATGCGGCGAGGAGTGCGGGAGTGCGGGCGCAGTGGTGCAGGGCGCGGTGCAGGTGCAGGCAGCAGAGGTGGGCCAGCAGCAGTGGCTCCTCGTGGTGGTTATCCACCTCGCGGTCAAACAGCTTCCGCACAAACCCTGGCACTGCCGGCCCTGCTGCTGCTGCTCTTGTCTTTGCTGCTGCTGCTGCTGCTGCGGCTGCTCCTGTTTTCCCTCCCTCCCTCTCCCCCTCCACAGCTCTTTGCACCTCCTCCTCGTCCTTCTCTCCCAGCACCCCACCGCCCCCTCCCAAGTCCTCCAGCGCAGCCCGGCTGCGAAAGCCCTTGGGAGACACAAAGTCGGGGTGCAGGATCCACGCAGCGAGGTGCGCGGGTAGCAGGCAGGGCGGGCACCCACGGAAGCACTGCGACAGATGGGCGAAGGCGGCCTCTAATGCGCGCTCCACCTGCGCCGGCACAAAGGAGGGTGCCGGCGCTGGCATATCAGCAGCAATTGTCCCGACAGCAGGAGCAGCAGGGGCGGTTGTGGTGATGGTGAGAATGGCAGCAGCGAGTGTCTTCCTGAGCGTCTCATCCTCGTCCTCCATCACTCGGATCACCGTCAGCCACGCTCGCAGCACCACACATGCATACTCCATCACTCCACCCCTCTCTCCCTCCTCTCCTCCTACCGCACTCTCTCCTCCCTCCACGCAGTCAGCGCGCAGCACCGCGCCCACGCGCCCAGCATCCAGCAGCAGTCCTGAAGAAACGACAGCCTCGGCTGCTGCCCTGCGCACACTCACAGGCCGGTGCGCCGAGCTCTGCTCGCCAATCAGCTGCAGCCACGTGGCAGCTAGCTGTAGCAAGTTTCCTGACCCTTTCCCTTGGCCTAAGGAGAAGTTTCCTTGAGTCAACTCTCGCTCCATTGACTGCTTTAAGACTCCCTGCTGCTCCTGCTGCTGCTGCCGGAACCCCTCGTCCGGGGAATGGTCCAGCAGCAGCAGGCGGAAGCAGTGCCCCAGGCACCTGAGAGCGGCCTCTCTGGTTTTGAGCACACGAGCCGTCTCGAATATCTCCAGCACCACCCGCCACAGCGCTGCAGGGCCTCTCACATGGGAGGCAGGTGCGCAGTGTGCAGCACGGCCGCACACAGTGCTGTCAGGCACCTGGGAGGGGCCAACTGGCTGCTGCGTCTGCCCTGCTTGCCCCGCCAGTGGTGCTCCCCCTGGGAGCAGAGCGAGGGGCAGCAGTGGCAGCAGGAGGGGCCGCAGGGCGGGCAGTGAGAGGGCGGCCAGCAGCACTTTGAGCTGGCGCCGGCACCGCATCTCGTCCCTGCCATGGGCGCTCCTCTCCTGCTGCACCCCAGTTAGCACTGCCAGTAGCACCTCCCCCACCCCGCTGCTGCTGCTGCTGCTGCTGCTACCATTACCGCCATTGCTGGTATTGGTGCTGCTCACATGTGGTGGCAGCAGTGGCGCGAGCAGGTGTGGCGAGGCGAGGAGATGCGCGAGGGAGCGGAGCGCAGACAGCTGCACGTCGCGAGACGGGTCACAGATGGCCGCCAGCACCACGCGCCAAAACACTCCCACACCGCCGCACTCCCCACGCTCCCCCTCACCGGCTTTCCCCAACAGACCCCCCCCCTCCCCCTCACCGGCTCCTCCCCACATACCCTCAACCCCACCCATGCCCTCCCACAGGCCCCGGCCCGCCAAGCAGACGGCCTCAGGTGAGAGCAGCAGCGCGGCGGCGGTCTGCCTGAGGGCGAGCGCCGTGGGGTCCACCATGGCGAAGCGCACAGGGGGGTGCAGGGAGAAGGCGCGCAGGGCGAGAGGCAGGAAGAAGGAAGCGACTGTGTGCGTGACGGGTGTTAGGGGAGGTGGGGAGGAGAGCAGGGGGGGGGAGAGGGGAGGGGAAGAGAGGGGGGTGGAGGAGGAGGAGCGGGCAGAGGAGAGGAGGGAGGAGAGGGGAGGGGAGGAGTGGAGTGCGGAGGAGAGCAGGAGGTGGGCGACTGTGAGGTATTCAGCCACCACCGCATGGCAGCAGCACACACGGGGGTCGCCCAGCCACTGGCGCTGCTGCAACGCCAGCAGCACCTCAAGCACGGCTGACGCTCTGGTTCCTCCCTGCTCCTGTTGCTGCTGCTGCTGCCCCGTGCCTGACGCCCAGTAGGCGGCCAGCAGGTGGCGCATCTGCAGCAGCACACCGTGCACCGCGTTGAAGCTCATACGCACACCCGTGCTCTCGCTCTCACTTTCAGTTCCCTTCTCATCTCTCCTCGCATCTGCCTCATCACTCCCTCGCGCACTGCGCTTCTCATCACCCCCCTCACTCCCCCTCTCAGCCCCTCCCCTCTCCTCAGGCAAGCTGCAAGCCAGCATCAGCAGCATCCGAGAAACTTCCGTGGGCGCCACAATGGGCACGAGCGCGCGGGCGGCGAGCTCTCGGACGTGCATGTGGGGGTGGGCGGCGCAGAGCGTGACGGGCGGCACGAAGGCGGCGGGGGAGAGGTAGGCGGAGGCTGAGGGGGAGGTGAGGGTGGAGGGCTTGAGGCGCGAGAGGAGGATGAGGGCGGGCGCGAGGGACGGGTGGAGGGGCTGTGAGGGGGAGAGGGGGGAGGCGGAGGCGGAGGAGGAGGAGTTGGTGGTAGTGGTAGGTGTGGTGTTGGCAATGGTATCGACAGTGGTCGCAGTGGTCGCAGTGGTCGCAGTGGTCACAGTGGTAGCAGTGGTGGGTGTGCAGGAAGGGGGTTGGGTTAGGCTTGCAACGGGCAGAAAGGCGAGGGTGGCGTCCTGGAGGTGCGTGAGGAAGAAGCCATGCAGCGAGGGATAGCGGTGAAAGAACTCAAACGCCGTCATGCTCTGCCGCGCCGTCTGCCGGCACACCACCGCCTCCCTCCCCCACGGCCGCCCCGCGCGCGCCACATTCTTGAACCCCAACATGCGGTGCAGCAGCGCCACCAGGCACAGCCCCGCCGCGTTGCGCACCTCCCAGTGGGGGGAGCGGGCCGCGGCAACGGCGGCTTGGAGCCCCGGCGCGCAGAAGGCGGAGGTGTCGGTGGCGAGGTGCGTGTCGTGGAAGGCCAGGCGGAGGACGTTGAACGCGTGGACTGCCGCCACCACGCCCTCCTCCCGTGCCTTGAGGGATAGCACTGCTGGTGCTGCTGGTGCTGCTGGTAACGCTCCTTGCTCCTCCCCCATCTTTACTGAAGCCACCGCGTCAGAACCCTCTCCAGTCCTCCCTGCAGGCCCATCCTCCCTCTCTTCCCCTCTGTCCTCCCCTTCCCCTCCCGCTCCATCCCCCATCCCCTCCACCCTGCTAGTCCCCCCACCTCCCCCCTCCGTCCCCCCCACCACCCCCAGCAGCCAGGTGACGGCACGTGGCAGCAGCACTTTGGGCGCGCCCTGCGGCTCGCCCAGGAACAGCCCCAAGAACGCAGCAGGCAGGCCCGCGGACCTTCGGATGAGGTCGTTGAGGGTTTGGTTCGGCGCCGTGAGGCGGGATTGGAGGGTGGTGAGCCAGCGGCGTGGGAGCGAGTTGAGGGCGGGGGAGGGGCAGCGCAGGAGGCGGTCGGTGAGGGCGATGAAGCCCGCTCGGGTCTTGTCGACGGCGCCGTTGTGCTTCATGGCGAGGAGTAGCGAGACGAAGTGGTCGCCCACTTGCTGGAGGGGGGAAGAGAGAGAAGCAGAAAACGACGAGGAAAAGAGACAAAATGGAGGATCGAGCATGAGAGGGGAGTATGAGCAACGGAGGCAGAGTGGGGAGCCAAATTACAGGGAATGTTGGGCGGCCATGGTACATCAAGCCTTGATCAGAAGCACATGCACAGGCTCACAAAAGCCCACACCCAGATTCGTGCACACATTCGTGCACGCGGAACGGACGCCATGCAGCCGTGCAACCATCAGCTCCAACACGCGTTGCCTCACATGCACATGCCAATCCATGCATGTACCCACCTTGATCCATGCATGTACCCACCTTGATCCATGCATGTACCCACCTTGAGCTGAGCTGCATCCAACAACTCCCCTCCAACTGTCGCTTCCTCCTCTCCTTTCCTCTCCCCCCCTCTCTCTTCCCCCCCTCCATCTGCCTCGCGAGCTTGCTGGTCGCCCGCGTGGGGTTGCAGCGGCACAGCGCGGGCGAGTGTGCCAAGGAGCAGCGAGACCTCCTTCATGGACAGCCAGCACGCCACCATCACCATCTGCTCCACCGGCGCCAGCTGGGGGGCGCTGCTGTCCCCACCGTCCAGTTCTGTGTTGATAGCATCGTCATCGTCATCATCGTCATCAGCACCGTCATCCGCATCATCGACACCAGTAGCCTCGCCATCATTGTCTGCTGCATCGCCGTCGCCCTCCTCCTCTTCCTCCTCCTCCCCCTCCAGTCCCCCATGGCAAACAGCACCCCCCTCTTGCCTGTCTTTGTCGCTCACTCGCATGCGCCCCCCTTCGCCCACGTCCACGCGCAGCCCGTCCGCAGCCACCACCCACAGCGCCAGCCCCGTCACTCGCAGCACCAGCGCCAGCACCCGCTGCAGCACGCCCTGCATGCCGCCTGCTACCACTTCTGCTTCACCCAGTGCTTCTGCTGCTGCTGCTGCTGCAACGGCTGTTGCTTGGGATGGTGCTGGCGCCTCGCCAACTGCTTTTGCAGCAGCGTGCGCAGGCACGGCCGTCCAGTCCACCTCCTCAAGGGTATACCGCAGGAGCAGCAGCACGCCGTGCACGAGGCTGTGGCGGCATGCGCCGATCATGTCGCGCTCGCCCTCCTCCACCAGCGCTGCCAGCCACTCGTTCAGCGACTGCAGATACTCCAGCATTGCTGATGCCCCCCTGCTGCTGCTGCCGTCACTGCCGCCATTGCTGATGTTGCTGGAAATAACAGCAGAGTCAGCATTAAGACCAGCAGCAGCAGCCGTGGCAGTGACTGTAACAGTGGGGAACACCCTCACCCGCCACCCCAGCCCCAGCACGTACTTCTTAAACACCAGCTTTAGCACCAGCGCCCCCGCGTCGCTCTCCCTCACTCTCGGGCTCATCACCAGCCCGCACGCCCACTGCACCACGCCCGCCACCTCCCCTTCCCTCTCCAGCCCGGGCAGCGGCGCAGGGTACTTGAGGAGGGTGGTCAGCGCCGCCTCTCGCAGGCGGTCCCAGCTGTCCACCGCTGCTGCGAGGAGGAGATGCGTGGTGGGCGCGGACAGGGCGCCGGGGGGGTAGGGGGAGAAAGTGGGGGGGGCAGCAGGGGGAGTGGTGAGGGGGGGGAGGAAGTCGCGGGGGCTCCAGACGTCCATGAGGGCGCAGAGCGTGTCGAGCGCCATGCTCTTGCGCTCGTAGGGCGCGGAGGGGTAGAGGGAGGCGAAGAGGAGGGCTGTCAGCCAGTGTATGAAGCCCTGCACCTCGCGCACACTCGCCCCCTCCTCCTCCTCCCCCTCCTCCTCCTCCCCCTCCTCCTCCTCCCCCTCCTCCTCCTCCCCTTCCTCCTCCTCGACCTCCCTGTTCTTTCCTTCCTGAGAGCCCTTCTTGTCGTGAACCCCTCCAACCACCGTGACTCTCTCCCCTCCCTGTCCTTTCCTCTCGCGCCGCTCCACGGCGGCTCTGACGCGCGCGAAGAAGCGGCGCACGATGGAGCACCAGCGCATGCGCAGGTTGGGGGACGAGCACCGCAGGTTGAGGGGGAAGGCCAGCGCGAGTAGGCGCAGCTCGGGCAGGGAGGGCATGGCAGTGGTGCGGTACGAGATGCAGAGAAGCTCTGCCACGTCCACTCGCACCGCCTCGTCAGCATGCCACGTGGCGCGCTCCAGCATCCACGTCAGCACGGTCTGTGGCCCGCCCGACCAGTCACTGCCTCTCTCCTCATGCCCTTCCGCCATCCCGTTCTCATCCCCCTTCCTTCCCTCCCCCTCCCCTCCCCCCTCCCTCCTCCTCCTCCTGCCCCCCCTTGCAGCGTCGTCCACCGCCCCATCCACCACCCCCATGCCTCGTCCCATCCTCAGCAGAGCCACCACGGCCCCCACCCTTGCATCCACACTGGCACCCCACGGGTACTCCCCATGCGGCCCCCCACTGCTGCCATCCGCCAGCTCCGCCCAATCCTCCCACACCGCCTGCCCGCTGCCCTCCAAACCGTCCAACCCGCCAGGCTCGGATTCCGAGCCTGCGGCTGAAGCGGTATGCAGTGTGAGGTGGGCGACGCCCGAGGGAGTGAGGGTGGGGGCGGTGAGGAAGGCGAGGAGGGGCCAGAGCGCGGAGGGGTCCAAGGCCAGCAGCACGGGGAGCGCGTACGTGGCAGTGTTGCTGCGGTGGACAGCAGCGCCCTGCACCAGCCCGCACAGCACGGCCGGCATCCACACCCGCCGCCATGCCACGTCCCCCCCGCCTCCCCTCCCTGGCATCTCGCCTCGGTTTCTGTCTCCTCCCTCGTGCTCAGCGCCCGCGTTGCCCGCCCAGCACTCCTCCCTGAGGCGCGCCAAGAACGCCTTGAGGAAGGAGGAGACGGCGCAGCACACGCCCTCGTCGCCCATGGCTGCTATGGCGTCGCCCAACACGCCCTCTGGGAACCGCATGACCATACTCTCCACCCCCACTCCTGGAGAGGCGGACTGCATCTCCCCAGCTGCCCCTTCCACACCTGCTCCCTCCGTGCCTGGCGAATCCCTCTCCTCCCCCCCACCCCCACCACCCCCCTCTCGCCCCTCCTTGCTCATCCGCAGCAGCCGCCCGGCCCCCAGGCGCAGGGCCAGCGACGCCAGAGGCACGTACCGCCCCTTTCTGTGCGGGCCCGTCTGCAGCACCTCCCGCGCCAGCTGCTCCGCAAACTGCCGAAACTCGCCGCCCTCGCTGGAATCACCTGCCCCAGAACCGCCCTCCACTTCTGCCCCTTCCCCTGCCTCTGGCGGCTGCCCTGCCTCAGCGTCTGGGCTGGCCTCTGCACTCCCATTCTGCTCCCCCTCCTCCCCCTCCCCCCCTCCCTGCTCTTCCCCCATCATGAGCCCCAACCCCTCCACCACATCCTCCTCCGCTTCCTCCTCTTCCTCCCCCTCCCTCTCCTCACTCTTCTGCACACTTTCCCCTACCAGCTCAGCATTCTCCTCTCCCCTTCTCTTCTCTTCCTCAATCGCCTCCTCTCTCCCCTTTTCTCTCCCCATCTCCCCCCCAGCCGTCCCCCCCTCTCTCTCCGCCGCCTGCACCACGTCCAGCAGCAGGTCGAGCGCCACGTGCGCCTGCCTGGCCGTCTGAGTCAGCGGGTCCTCCCAGTGGCCCCACACCGCGCCCAGAACGCGCTCCACACTGCCACGTGGCATCTCCTCATACGCCAGTGCACTGGCATTCTCTGTCAGCGTTTCCACCAATGGGAGGAACGGAAATTCACAGAGCTCCTGAACTCCACTCACTGATGCTGCTACTGCTGCTGACCCTTTCTCTCCACCAATCCCTGCTCGCCACGTGGCCCGGATCCGACCCACCTGGCGTGTGAACAGTGCACGGGAGGCAGCGCAGGTGCCGTCCAGCAGGCTTGTCTTGATCTGGTGGAGGCATATCTGGAGGGCGGTAACCGCGTGGAACTTGGAGTGGGCATCGGAGGAAGCTTCGCAGAAGGAGAGGATGCGAGGCAGCAGCCCGTCGAAGAGCAGCGACCACCCCCGCACCTCCAGCGCCTGCTCGGTTGAGCCTGCTCCTGCTTCTGATGCCCATGCTGATGCTGCTGGCGTTGCGCACGCTGCTTCTTGTGCCTGTGGCAGTGGCGGCAGCAGCAGCAGGCGGTGTGTCAGGGCTTGGCGGGGCACGGCGGTGAGCATGCCGCGGATGCAGCACAGCTGGCTGAACAGTGGGAAGCCGTCCACGCCAAGGGACGCCCATGACTGCGACGCCCATGACTGCGGGGCACCCACCGCTGCTGCGCCGTCGATGCTTCCAGCCTCTGCGCCTTCACCTTTGCAGCCCTGGCCTTGCACGCATTGCACTGAATCTAAAACGCCCACGCCTGCTCCCTGTGTGGCTGCGTGGTCCTGCCTCGCTATAAGCGCATCCAGTACGGTCAAGGGGTCCACAAACTCACTCCCAGCCATTGCCACAGGGATGGGATTCGCAGCAGCTGCGGATGGCAGCATGGCAGGCGAGGAAAAGAAGGAGCGCGCCAGAGCCAGAGCCAGCCGCCCTTCCTTCCTCTCCTCCTCCTCCTCCTCCCCGGCTTTTCCTCCTCCTCCCCCTGCTGCTGCACCTGCGCCTGTCTCTGATTGGACAAGAGGCAGCAGCGCGCACAGCGCTACAGCTGCTGCTACAGTGGCGTCTCTAGAGAGCACCCCCGTTTGTAGCACTCTCACTACTGCGCGCTGCACTGACAGCAGCTCCCCACACACCCCCTTGCTCTCATCGCTCTCATCGCCTCCTTTGCCTTCCTTGCTTTGGTCGTCCTCTGGACCTTCACTGGTGGCAGGGGAATGCGGGGTGAACTCCTCTGGGTATCGCTGCAGCAGGTAGTAGAGCGTTGACAGCGCCTCTTGACACAGCTCCATCGTCGCTGGCACCACGTGCCCCCCCCCCTCCGAACCTGATTCCGAACCTCCTTCCGGACCTGCTTCAGCAGCTGTGCTGCTGGCCTCCGCCACGTCAGCAGCTTCGGTGACCCGCTCGGTTCTGTCGCGTATGCCCCCCGGTTTCATGTGGTCCACTACCGCTGCCACGTCAGCACTCAGCGTGTGCGCCAGCTGGCGTGCCACGAGGCGAGCTGAGCTGGCAAGGGGTGCCTGGAAGGAAATGAGGACGAGGAGGTCAGCGGTGCATCATGGTGGATGCCACGTGTCAATCGAATGCGGTGCATGCATGCGGACACGGCAGGAAGCCGTGCATCGTTTGGGCGCCACGCCATGCATGTGAGAGAGGCGGAGGGACGAGCATGTGGCGGGAGGGGCAAGTCGAACGCGGGAGAATATGACGGGGGAGACGAGGGGGAATGGAGGAGGGGGGAGGCGGGGAGGGGGAAGGCGGGAAGGGGAGCACGGGAGGAGGGGAGTAGCGAGGGCGATGAGAGGAGAGGAGGGGGAGGCGAGGGGAGGCAAGCACGGGCGTGGAGCTGGGCGGTTTTGAGTCGACTGAAAAGGCAAGCACGGACCTGGAACTGGGAGGCAGTGATGGCCGCCCCTGCTGCTGCTGCGGCGAACGGTCTCCTCTTGGCGCCACCAACGCCGTACTCGCTACAGCACAACGCGATAGCTCTCTCGATCAGCCTCCTCGCCCTCCCCGCAATGCTCCCCTCACCCTCGTCGTCCCACTGCCCCCTGCCTCTGCCACCTCCCACCGCTCTCCCACCCTCGCCATTCCCCATACTCCCTTCGCTTCCCCCCTTCTCCGCCCGCGCGGCCCCTTTCTTCCACCTCTTCCCCTCCTTCCCTCCCTTCCGCCCTCCCCCTCCGCCTCCGCCTTTTCCTTTGCCCCTCCCCGCTGAGCCATCCCCGTGTAGCGCGAAGGTCCGCGCGAGGGCGGAGAGCAGCGCGCGGTGCAGCGGGCGGGAATTCTCGAGAAACAGAATCTCTAAGTAGAGACGAGTGGCTGGGGGAGGGAGGGGCGAGCGGGAAGGGCGGAAGAGAAGGCGAGATGGATGGGAGGGACGGAGGGGGACAGAGGGGGGAGGGGACAGAGGGGGGAGGGGGACAGAGGGGGGAGGGGGACCAAGGGAGAGGAAGGCGCGGGGGTGAGGCGGGTATGGCTCAGGATTAGGTTCGGCGGGAACTGGGGGAACGAGTAGGACGCGGCCCAACGCGGGTTTTAGCGGGGGACAAGGGGGGTTCTAGCAGCGAGCAGGTTTCTGCGATCGATCTCTCCCCGAAGGCCTCCAGATGGCAAGCAGGTAACCCGAGCAGGTAATCCAGGCGGGCACGCGGACCACCCCAGCTGCGCACGTGCGCGCACCTATTGCTACCGCACCTGCCGCGAGCTCGCGCTCTTCTGAGCTGTCGCTGCCAGCCGGATCAGCCGCGGGATCATCGGCACCAGTCGCGGCTGCACTGATCGCATCGCGCCAGCGGGCGAACAGAGCGTCCAGCGAGTCGGAGAGCTCCTTAATGTGCGGAATCTCGGCGAATGTCGATCGGAGGCTGGTGAGTTGCAGCAGCGCGCTGCCGAACCGCCGCAGCTCCGGCGACCCAGACGTGGCTCCTGACGAAGCTCTGTGCACCGCGGCTCCGTTTTCAGCTCTAAGCGAATCAGCTCGTAGCGGATCAATGGATCTGATTAGTTCCCGCTCGAACGGCACATCCCCGACGGAAAGGGCTGTGGCGCGCGAGACGTAGGTGGGCGGAAATGCCGTTCCCGCGTCCGACCATCGCTTCCGCTGCTGCTGGCGACGGAATTTCGACGCCATTGCCTAAGGTAAGAGCCACACGACGCATAGGATTCTAGCGACTGCGCTTCTGCCGTATTATTCAATCTGATTGCTCATCCTTGATATGGTTGATCACTACGGGCGAGGAACATCGAAGAGAGCGGGTTGTTCGACCCCACACCGCTGTACCACGCATGTTTATAACTAAAACGCACAAGAACACACCAAACCATTTTCAACCTCTCTGAAACTTCATACCGGTACCTGGCTGCTTGTTCATGGAACCACAAATCAAGGCCAGGCAGACCAGCAATCAAGTTAGTAAACCTGATTATTGATCAAGTCTACACTTTCACGATGCTGTACATGTACGTCCATATTGGTCAATATCACTCAACAAGCGAAGAGTACAAAAATCAGTGTCTTGCATAACCCCACACCCTTTTTTCGTTATGAGGACGCCAAAGACGTGCTCTACCTAACCAATAAATTATTCGCCCAAAACAAACCCTCGATGTCAGAGCAGTGGTTGAATTCACTATCCTTTCGCACTGGATGGGCTGCCCCTGAGTGGGCTTTCATAGCCCTTGATGTTCTTCTTGGCATCAGCATGTGAGGCCACAAATTGCCGGCCACCGAGGTCACATGCCGTGATACCCTTCTGCAGGGGCCCCTTGTTGTACACTATGCTCGTGATATTCGTCTCCGCTTCCTTCTTCTCGAAAAACTTCTTTGACTGCAGCACAATAAATGGGACGGTTAGTACAGATGGATGATATGGATTAGCTTTACCACATGATCCAGCCAAACAGCAAACAAGCATTGGGTGGAACGAAGCCACAGTTGCAATGATGGAACCATGTGAGGCCTCGACAATGAGAGCTGAAAGAGGGTGTGATGAGAGGAGGGACAAAGATCGTCTAGGCCTTGTCATACCGCGGACTTGTAGCTGTCGGAGTTGCCGGCCTGCACGCCCATGCGGATGTTGCCCATGTCGTAGTTGGCCCCACCCGCCCTCTTGAGCGAGTCGTCGATATCCTTCTCCAGCCCCGCCAGCGCCTCCCGCTCGTACAGCTGCTTCTCAATGTGGAAGCCCTGAGCCACGGGACACGGTGAACAATGGGAGGGGGAGAATGTCAGTGAGTGAGAGCGTGTCGGAACTAAACGGTAGATAATGAGGAGAAAACAGGGGGGAATCTGACGCGAAACTGCAACTCCTTGATAAATTTGCAGTCTCCGACGTTGCAACTCAGTCCTACAATTGTATGAGCTCTTTTGTGTGAAGTTTCACATTGGTACGTTGCAGATGGCGTGTGCCAGATGGTGCATGTTTGCGTTAGGCGTTGCAGTGGCAGCAGCGATGGCAGAGAAAAATTCACCGACGATTCACATTGTGACGTCGCAGTGGGTAGGGGACCTAACTTACATCGCACAGCGCTGAAGGAAGACGCGGTAAAATAGCTCCGTGCCCCTTCTCAGGACCATCGAACAACCAAATTGCATGCTCCGACCGCCTGATCACTAAGGGACTAAGCGCGAAGATTAGTTCTTCGAAGAATCCTCCGCTTCTCTTGTGAATTGAATTCCCCGCCGGGCTCACCTGGAACAAAGTCGCGCAGTCCTTCTTGTGGAGCGCCACTTTGCCCTTCTTCAGCGGCGACGCGCTCTCGCCGACCCACGTGATGAACACGAACTTCACGCGCTTGGAGTCGCCGCCGTCGTCCATCTTCACCAGCCGGAGCAGCCCGTACAGAATGTTATTGTCCTCGCACTGCAAACCCACATCGCGAGTCGATCGAAAAAACCAGGGAAAAATGAATGAAATCGGTCAAGTTTGGTACGTCTAAGTTCTGTTAGGACAATGGCCACGACGCCGCGGCTGATCGTACAGGCGATGCATTGAAAGCGGCATCAAGGGAAGAGAGACAATGCAGCAACTTAGTAAGGAATGTATAAAACTGTCGGGCAAAGGTAGGAGATTTTGATGAATAACGACAGTGAGTTTTACCTTTGCAACCATTTCGTTGACGTCGCCGGTGCCTGTCCCCAGCGGGACGAGCGAGTTGCCCTCGTAGCCTAGCCAGCACCACGACTCCGGCGTGTCGTCTGAAAACACAGCTCGATACGCCTCCGAGCATCCCGGCTTGAACAGCGACGCCATGAACCGAAGGCGGTCAGCAGATGACGGATAAATGGAGCAGCAGTCACGGAGAAAGCAATGCGGGGCGAAGCTTCGGCTAAATTAAGGATGCGATTGCAATAACTAATTCGTAAGCGGTAGCAGGAGAACGATCAGGGAGTAGTGGGGCAATGGTCCTCTGCTGTGAGAGGCCTGGACAGAACACAACCGTGCCTGGCAAGTGGGGAGTGAAGGATAGAGGTGGATTCAGGCTGTTCAGGCCTCAGCAAGGAGATTGTGGATAGGAGAATGGATGAGAGCCATGGCTTGGCCGAGCGTCTCATCTCATGCACCACAAACTGGACCGCAGCAGGGCCCCTTTGGGGGGGAGAGGATGATGAATTCCGACGTGTGCGGAGAGAGGGGGGAGACGCGCGGTATTTCCGAGAGCCCACGCGCGCCGCTTGTTCGGGGTGCGTTGGGCCTGTGATTGGATGGCGCGATTGGAGAGGCGCAGAAGGTCCAAAAAGTGGGGCTGGTTGTTGAGAGTGGTGGTTGGGCGAAGGATGGAGTGATATTTTGGCGAGGTCACGGTAATACTACAAGCTTGTGAGACGTTTATAAAGAACACTGCTTATTCAAGCATCTCCCTTAAACATACGTGGATAAAAATGATACATACTTACATCTCACATCCTATCTTCCATCTCATAAGCTCAAGAAAGCATGCGGGTGTCTCACATCTTCTGATCTGAAGTCGCGGAACCAGCTTGTCCTCACAAGTTTGGACTAGGGTTTAGGGCAGCTGGGGCAATCAGCTACATTCTATCCATGATTGGTGCCAAGTATGCTTCTTGTTGCATCCTCACAAGGAATAGCAGAAGGGGGGCACCACCAATACCTAAACTCGTTACGAGTAGCAGGTCATGTGTCAACTAGTGAACAAACAAGCCCTTGTTAGGCAATAACGATACAGTATACAATCCAAATACCCCATTTCCACAAGGTCTGGAATCAGAGCGGAAGCTAGTTAAATACAGGACCATGTTTTTTCTGGCATCATTGGCAGGGAACAGCAGGAGCATCACCAGCAGCGACCTGCTGTTGGGATTGTTGTTGACTGCTCTTCTCCTGCTCCTTGTTAGCAGCCCATAGCGCGTACAGATAGCGTCCCGACCCCATGTCGAAAATTGACAGGAGCACGGCCCACATTTGCGCCCAGATGGTCTGGCTCTGTTGACGGACGGTAGTACGGGGTGTCGGGGAAGGATGCACGAGGAGACACGTGTAAGGAAGGTCGACACACTCGCAAAGAGAACACGGAGAACCAAGAGGCGGGGGAAATTAGGGTTGAGCAATAGGAGCCAGCGGCGTCGCTTCAACGAAGGATACGAAAGTAACGAGACAATCCATTTTTTGCATGGAGATCAACTAACTAACCTTCTTGCTTTTCCCCCGGCCTGACCGGAGCAGAGGCTCCGACGATGCCGCTACTTCGTTCCCCGGGCTTCCATCGCCAGACCCGAAACAACTTTCCGAGGAGTCAGACAGGCGAAGGCCGTCGACGTCATCTACGCTCTTCCACGACCGCCATGTCATGTAGCCCGCGATGAACGCCGACACCACCACCAGAACCACCCGCATAGGACACACCATCGTGACTGTCTGTGCTGTCTGGCGCTTACGGTATATTGCCTTCAAAACGGGGCTACGGGCAAGTGAACCGGGACGTTTAGGGTACGAATAGGCGGCGGCTTTTTGTGAGACTGACTGACGGAAAGGACTAGGACAGTTTGAGCAGCCCCTGCAGTAGCACCTTACAATAACAATAATTGTCGAGGCCTAGCGAACGAACTGTCGTGCTCTTCTGCTCCTACCCCAGCTTCTGTAGTGCTGGTCAAGGACTGCAGTGCCGGGACAAGGGCGGTACGAGTCAACGAACTCGGGTGGAAGGAACTAGGGCAACCTTGGAGATGACTGGACAACGAGCAAGTAGGGAAAAGGGTTGGCGGGTTGGCTTGTGGACGAGGAACTGTAGTCGTCGTCAAGAGGTCTCCTCCTCCCCTCCAGTCTCTCGCCTCAACTCAACTTTCCCCCTAAATCCCTAGTGGCGGTAACATCAAGAGTACTGTATGCGACTTCACCGAACAGAAGCGGCATTTCGCCCACCCCATCGCACGACACAAAAGGAAACGAGCAGGAGGTTCGCAGTAGGGCACGTGGCTTCCCTGTTTTCAGGCCGCGCGACGGTGCCGCGTTACCACAAGGAGTTGCGAAACGCGGTTCGCCGGCGCAGAACGTGGACCATGTCAGCAGGAGGGGGAACTTCTTCTGCCTGACCATCCTGGCTCGGAAAACAGACTGCAGGTTCATCGGAAGCTGCGACAGAGGGGAGCTTGGGACACCTGATTGGCGGAAAGCGCAGCCACTGATGTTGCAAATTAAACGAACCGAACCTTTCCCTAGGTTTGGGCAAGGACGGTGTGTGATGACGAGGCCTCGATATCCAGTCATCAGGATTCGTGATTTGCAAGACAGACTCAATACCGACCAGAGTGTGTGGCTCACGCACAAAAGGCGTGTGGTCGGTGATAGAGTTTTGCTGACATTGCATTTCCAGAATCCTCAGTTCGAGCGGGGTAAGAGCGCGGTACAGGAGACGGTTTTCCAGGATCACGAGCCGGGGTCGCGATCTCAGGGTCAAGTATTCACAGGTTGCAAAGAGATTTAGTGCGGTGACAGAAGTGCTCCGAAGGGTTACAGTCCGGTGAAGCGTAATCATTGTGACATTATGCCGTGACCCTGTTGCGACCCTGACCCTTGCCCTCATATACCCCGCTCTAAGGCTTCTACGGAAGTGACTGACAAAGCCAGACTCGTTAGAACGAAAAACAGCTTCCAGAAAGTTGGGTAAATTTGGAGCTTTCCTGTAAAACGATAATAAAGGAATTGACCATGACCTTGGTACTCCCTCCACTTTTTGCTGTTCTTGCCTTTCCCAGCATTTGTCAATAGCTGACTCTGATTTCAGGGGCCAGCGAGGACAAAACGGGCAATTTCCTCCAGCCCTGCTTCTCGGTACAATCCTGCAAGCTGCTCACACGTCTCCTCCCATGTTCCCTCCGCTGCTGCAACGTCCAGCAGAAAGGCAGCCTGGTCCAATGCAACCTGCAGTTCAATATCGGGGGAAAACATAGAATGGATCGAAGAAAGGGGATGAGGGAAATCAAAGGAACGCCTAAAAAGCACAAGGGAGAGCTGAGTGCAGAGTCTAAGCGACTGCACCTACTGTTAGTGCACATTTCTTTGCCCCTGGGAGGAAAATATCGTCCCACAGAAAAGGGCACGTAACAAGAAAGTCTGCGCATTGTCCCATGCCCCTCACCTGCTCTGGCGCCTTGCCCTTGTTGACGTCCTCCTTCCTGCCCTCCTCTGTGAGCCGCTCCAACGCATACTCCAACTGCGAGTCCCCGTAGCCTGCCAGCTCAGCCACCTCCTGTTGCCATGGCACACAGGCGGATGAAAGGTGGAAGAATGAACACATAGAAACAAGGACGAAATCAGAAACGGCTTGCATGCACCCCCCATTCGGTAAACTTGTAGCCTGGTATTGAGTCCAAGTCACGTCTACATGTGCACTATCCCCTGGCCAGTGGCCACACCACCGTGCCACTAGGCTCGAACAGCCATCACGCGCATCAGCTCACTGTGCTGACCCGACCTTCCTTTGCGACCATCATCATCACCATCGACTAATTTGGCAGAATCGTGAAACCCCTAGGGTCGACCCACCTGATAAGACGCCCCCAGGGTCCACCACGGGGACTTGAGTGCAATGCGAGCTGCATCCCTTGCCTCGGTGGGCCTGCCCACTCTGCACGCACAAGGAGAGGCCAGATAGGAACACACTGAATCTGGAAGATGCATCACGAAAGGCACACTACGAGACACGGATGCGTCATTTTTCCGGACACTTCTGCTGGCCTCACCTAGTTTTGAGGCGCCTCAAAACTCATTTTTCCGGACTCTTCTGCTGGCCTCACCTGAGCAGGAGCTGGGCGTTGAAGGTGAAGGGATGGGCGAAGCCTGGGAAATGCTTGCGCGCATAGAACTCCCCCGCCACCAGCGCCGACACCTGCAAGATGCCACGGAGAGGGAGCAGAGTGTGACCCAGGAGGTGCCGTCACAACTGAAGTAGAGGGATTTGCCAGAACAGAACAGCTTTTGAGGCGCCTCAAAACAAGAACAGAACAGCACGAGAAAGAGGCTGAGAGAGGAAAGACAGAGGGAGACGAGGAGGGAGGACCCCACGGGAGGGGGCCATAGGAAGAACCATCCAGACGGTCGCTTTCAAGTTGCACTTTGCAATTGGAATTAAGAGAGAGAGTAGAAAGTTTGCATGTGGCAACAGTCGTACCTGATCGCCCTGCTCCAGGTGCCGCAGGGCAAGCCTCTCAAGGACGTCCGGGAACATGCCCACCTGCCAGCAACACACATGTGGAACGGGGGTGGGCATCCAGAAAACGTTTGACGCTTGGAAGAGGAAGAGCTGATGAACCGTGGAGGAAAAAGGCTGGCTTGGAAACTGGGGGGACGAAAGGCGAGTCTGGTACCACTAAACGAGTCACACAGAAGGATGCAGTGTGGGGTTGCGTGGAAAAAGCGCCACGCATGAGGGATGAGAAAGGAGAGCTGCAAGAATACCTTGGTTGTTAAATAGGCGTCTAGGGATTTGGACTTAGAAGCGGCGAACTCCCCTGGCGAATACAACCTGCGCCCCTCCTCCCCTGCTGCCTCCCGAATCCTCCCCATCTCCCCCTCCGCCGCGCCCCCCTTCCCCCCAACATCCTCCTCCACCAGTGCTCTCTGGATGTACTCGTCCGCCTGGTTGCGGGGAGGAGGGCGGGGGGGAGAGTGAGTAGTGGCGGGCGGGGGGAGAGTGAGTAGGGGCGGGCGGGGGGAGAGTGAGTAGGGGCGGGCGGGGGGAGGGCAACGAGAAGAGGGAGAGTGTGGAAGAGACCAATGTTCTGGAACGCAGAAGGCAAATATACTGCAGGAACTTACGGAGAAGCGGCAGAATACCATGGCAGTGCACCATGGCCACCAAGTGCCATGCGGCGTCATTCCAGGCCAGCCCTCCTCCTCACTCACACCTCACTCACTCCTCACTCACCGATCGTGCAACCAAGACGCAGCCGCCACCCTCCCCCACGCAGATAACTGGCATCTGCATGCTGACGTGGACACAAGGGAGGGACGTCTGATGATGACACAGGGAGATGTGTGGGGAACATGTGCCTATCTGTTCAGACAGAGAAATCACTAGATGACAAAGAGCATACCCGGGGAGCAGCGCACTTACCCTGGAGGAGCCGTGGGCCAGCGGAGAAGCGCAGTCACCGCGCCTGGGAGAGAGAAGAGCAGGCAGGGGAGGAGGCAGGCGAGAGGCGAGAACGGGATAAGAAAGAGAGCATTCAGCACGGAAGGATGCCACGCCAAGAAACCGATCGAAATTGCGGGCAAGGCAGCATGGTGCCATGGGAACGGGGAACTACATGGTGCCACATCGCAGCATAACTAGGGTGAGCGGGTTTCAGCTTGCCGTGCTCTGAGACCCACAATGCAGTGCACCCATAGCTCACCCGTGGCTGGATTGCGTGTGAGGGGGATCGCCAGCGGTACCATGCCTCGGCGATCGGATGGAGACACGGACTGCTCGCCTGTGAATGTAGGTCGCACGGGGAAATGGAATGGACATGGAGAAGAGAGGCGGGAGAAAGGATAGGAATGTGAGGGAATGGTGACGTGGGGAGACCAAAGAGCCGCACTTATCCAAGCTAGGAGAGCACTTCCATACTCGCACTACCATGGTGCACGGGCACTACCATGGTGCACGGGCACTACCATGGTGCACGGGCAATACCATGGTGCACGGGCACTACCATGGTGCACGGGCACTACCATGGTGCACGGGCACTACCATGGTGCACGGGCACTACCATGGTGCACGGGCAATACCGTGGTGCACGGGCACTACTTCCGTGGTGCACGGGCACTATTGTGGTGCACGGGCACTACCGTGGTGCACGGGCACTACTTCCGTGGTGCACGGGCACTATTGTGGTGCACGGGCACTACCGTGGTGCACCAGCACTACCGTGGTGCACGGACACTACCGTGGTGCACCGGCACTACCGTGGCGCACCGGCACTACCGTGGCGCACCGGCACTACCGTGGTGCACGGGCACTACCGTGGTGCACGGGCACTACCGTGGTGCACCGGCACTACCGTGGGGCACGGGCACTACCGTGGTGCACGGGCACTACCGTGGCGCACCGGCACTACCGTGGCGCACCGGCACTACCGTGGCGCACCGGCACTACCGTGGTGCACGGGCACTACCGTGGTGCACGGGCACTACCGTGGTGCACGGGCACTACCGTGGTGCACCGGCACTACCGTGGTGCACGGGCACTACCGTGGCGCACCGGCACTACCGTGGCGCACGGGCACTACCGTGGTGCACGGGCACTACCGTGGTGCACGGGCACTACCGTGGTGCACGGGCACTACCGTGGCGCACCGGCACTACCGTGGTGCACGGGCACTACCGTGGTGCACGGGCACTACCGTGGTGCACGGGCACTACCGTGGTGCACGGGCACTACCGTGGTGCACCGGCACTACCGTGGTGCACGGGCACTACCGTGGCGCACCGGCACTACCGTGGTGCACGGGCACTACCGTGGTGCACGGGCACTACCGTGGTGCACGGGCACTACCGTGGTGCACGGGCACTACCGTGGTGCACCGGCACTACCGTGGTGCACGGGCACTACCGTGGTGCACGGGCACTACCGTGGTGCACCGTCACTACCATGGTGCACGGGCACTACCGTGGTGCACGGGCACTGCCGTGGTGCATGGGCACTGCCGTGGTGCACGGGCACTACCGTGGTGAGGCGGCCCTTCCTTTACATGCACAGGTATCCGAACTACCAAGTCAAATCTGACCCGGCGCCTTCAGAACTCTGATCAGCAAGCTGAGCAGTGGAGTCCTCCCCGGGATCATACCGAATCCACTCACCCTGCGCCTGAAGCACTCGGATCAGCGAGCTGAGCAGCGGCGGTGGGTCTATCGCCGCGACGTCGCGAAGGAAAGCGGCATGTTCTGAGGGAAGGGAGGGAAGGGAAGGGAAGGAAGGGAAGGGAAGGGAGGGGAAGGGAAGGGAAGGGAAGGGAGGGACGTGCAGAAGCACGGAAGAGGACGATCGAATTCCCTGATTAGCGGACGAATCATACACAGCCAAGAACCAGGACTCGCGAACGAAAGCAATGTGGTCCGTGAAGGCGGAAGGACATGGAGACGATGGGCTGAGCGGAGCATTGACGGAAAAGGAGCGAATGTGTAGATTATGGCGAGAAGCGGTTCTCGGGTAACCACAGAATGTGAGCGTCTGAGAAGCTGCTCGCACCTTCCGTGGCCACTGATGCCCGACAGGATTGTCTCCGGCTGGTAGGGCAATGCCGACTAACTCTCCGACTACCGTACCCGCCTCGTCGCGTTGCGACGACCCATCTGTCCGAGTAGCTCGAGCTCGCAGCCAGCGATATTGCCTTCTCTAAATGTACTTGCGACGCCGCGTTCGCCCCCCGAAAGCGGTTAGCCGCGGGATTCGGGTGGGAGGTTAGAGTAACCGTTGGCGCAATGTCGCGAGCTAAGCTACCTGCAGCAATGGCTGCCATGGCTGATGGTCCTGTTGAGGCTCGGCGTTGAGGGAAACTGGGAATCACGGTGTTGACCGTCAACCTCCATGGCGTTGCTGCTGTTCCAGCTTTGTCGTCCTGACGACCAACCGACACAACACACTGATCAGTGATCGCCTTAAAGCCGCCGTATACATTTAGGTCCAAATGGCTCAAATGCTGAAGGGGCTATACTGGCGAAGACATCTCGCCAAGGCGAGAGACCTAAGGCTCGCCAAGCTCGCCAAAGCGGGACTAGCTTTGAAATTGAATGGGAGGGGGAATCGAAATCCGGGGGTGGGGGGGGGGAGGGGGGGGGTTGGGAATCGAAATTCGAGGGAAGCGGGGAATCGAAATTCGAGGCAGGGGGGAATCGAAATTCGAGGGAGGGGAATCGAAACTGGGGGGAATGGGGAATCGAAATTGATGGGAGGGGAGGGAGGGGTCGAATCGAAAGTGAAGCGCAGGGGGGGGAGGCGGGGGGTTGGGGGGGAGTCAAATTCGATTGATCGGAACAATCAGTATACATCGAGGTCCCATTATTCAAATGTTCGGAATTGCTGGCGCCCTGGCGAGAGCGAGAGGATCCTGACAGGGCTATGGGGTTACGGTTTTTTCAAATCTTTAAAATTTGAAACTGCCAACCTAGATGTATATTCTGGCTTTAAAGCCCGAGTCTAGAATGGTTAAAAGCCATGAATACTGGGCATGAAAACAGAATTTCGGCATAGTTCCCCTGACGAATACAGAATTTGGCGAAATAACAGAACCGTGATCGCAGCACGGAATTTCATCGGCAAGAACCGAGTTCAACAGTGCATGAACTGTGTGTGAGGGGCGGGGGAAGGGGGGGAACGAACAGTGACGCGAGACCCCCACAAAAATGCGTTCAGAATGGTCGCAGGCGAAAATCAAGAATACAGTACTGAGATGAACAGTAATTGCGGGTTTGTCCTTTTCAGCGGCATTCGCAAACTACCCCTTGTTCCCTGAGAGTTACGACGTTCAAACGGCATTTACTACGTTACCCTCTATTGGACGAAAACAAGTTCAGGATTCCTGAACTTGATAGCAAACCATTCTAGACTCGGGCTTTAAGGTCAGCTGTGGCTTGAAATGGAGCTATTTCCTTACGGACAGACGTACGGGTAGTGGTTCTGACAAGACAAGAGAAGGTGGGAAAGTTATCGTCGTCTGATCAGTGGTGGTCAGTGCATCGGCTGGTTGCGGAGAAATCAAGGGTGGAGAATCGAGGGTGAATGCGATTGCAACTGCGACTAATGCGACGTTGCGAACAGGCGAATGTGTGTCAGAATGTGGTGGTAAGCCACTCATACAAATCCCATTCACCTGTTTCCAACCAGGGCCTTTCGCAAACTTTCCCAGATCGAAAAAGCTTCGTAATGCTACCAGCTCTTCGCCAAGCGCCCGCCCTCCCCACGCAAATTGTTTTGGTAACTCTTACGGTTTTCCGCACAGTTCCCTTCGCCTCTGCTAATTGCATCTTTCCACCCACCTTCTCCCTTCTGCTCTCCTTCCCTCCCCTCCCCTCCCCCGCCCTCCTCCCCCTTAGAATTTTCCCACCAGCCTCTTTCTCCTTCCTTTTCCTTCCTGTCTAGGACCACCCTACCCCTCACCCGTCACTCCACCCTAGACTTACGCAATGGCGCCTCCCGCCAAGAAGGCTGCGGCCGGGTCCAAGGGAAAGAGGAAGCCGCACAGCTTCGTGATCGACTGCACGAAGCCGGTGGAGGACAAGATCATGGAGATCGCGTCGTTCGAGAAGTTTCTGCAAGACCGGATTAAGGTGGACAACAAGGCGGGCGTGCTGGGCGACACCGTGAAGGTCACCAAGGACAAGGCCAAGATCCACGTCACCGTCGACGGCCCCTTCACCAAGAGGTTTGTTTTTGTGCCCCGCCACGTCAGCTTTTCCGGCGTGCACGCTGACTTTCTGGCTATTAACTCCGACGTAACTAATCGACTAGTCGCATCATATAGTTATGTACGTGTAGCTGAGCCGCCTGGTTGTTTCCTAGTTGACGAAACCTAACGCGTCCCTCCTCCCTCCCAGACCCCCTTTCAAAGTTAACCCACCAGCACCGCTATGCGTTGCCATGTTCTGGCGTCGCAGGCGATGACAGCACCTAGCTCCTATCACCTGCTTTCCCGAAGCACGCATGTCTCCGTATCAGCGATTCAGCCTGTACCTCAGCGATATTAGTCACTGCAGCAGCGGTCAGCGTTACGGATCGAGCTTTGAAACCCTAGCTTCGTGGCGTAGCTTTGCAATTGCGGTTTCTTCTGACGGATAGCATCAGGAAGCGTGGCTTCGGCGACGTGGCTGGTAACCCTACGCGTGTTCAGGGTATGTGGTCGCTAGAGCGAGCACAACTGATCTCACAGAGCCCCTTCTGAACTTAGGTCATGGCCCCTCAGTGCCGTTAGTCCAGGTGCCTTGGAACATTTTAGCTTAGTGCATCGCTTCACGGACCCATCCTTCAGGACCTTTAGGCTTTCAAGCCGAATAGCCTAAAGCCTTTTCGACGGACCCGTTTCAGCAGCACTCATTCCAGCGTGGTCGGGTTACGCACGATCTTGGCACGACTTCCGGCAGCATCGAATCACTGGTTCTTTCGTGCTCTGCTGCGCAATCGCGTCTCGTGCCTCTGCTGGCTCGCGCACGCATAAGCTGCATCATCAGCATGGTCGGATTGCTACGCCTTCAGACAGGTCAGGGTTTAGCTTGAAGAGTCGGAGGACGAGTGAGATCTCGCTTCAGTTGGTTCATCAGCAGCAGGCTCGTAGGAGGTGGTCTGGTAGTTGTCGCGCGGCGTTCGTAGCGAAACACCACCTGGGCGGGATGGTGTGGGGTGATTCCTTTGCCCAGAGCGGAGCCGAACGCAGGACGGTGTAAAGTGCAGCACCGCGAGGCCAGTGGTGCGGGTGAGGAGGCCGCTAGGAGGAAGTCATCGCTGGAAACCCTAAATTCATCAGCGCATGCCTGGACCAATCCATGCGTATTCCTTCTCCACATTATTGGAGAGCTGCTCCTCATCATCCGATTCCTCGCACATCATTCCGTCCCGCACTCATTCCATCGACATCATCCCCGCGCCAGGTTCCTGATGTACCCATTTGCGTGAATTCCCCTTCACCCCATCAGACGCTGTTCGCACCACCCCGTCCCGTGCACCCAATGCACCCCCTGCAGGTACCTTAAGCACCGGACGAGAAAGTACTTTAGAAGCACAAGTGCGCGACTGGCTGCAGTTGATCGTTTTCCAGTCACCTAGAAAACTCTCTCCTACAGTGCACCCGTGCGCCCGTTGCACCCTTTGCAGATACCTCAAGTACCTGAGAAAGAAGTTCATAAAGAAGCACAACGTGCGTGACTCGCGGGTGATTGCTGTGTAGTCAACTCAACATCAACTCTCACACCATTGCACCCATTCCCCATGCAGGTACCTCAAGTACCTTACGAAGAAGTACCTGAAGAAGCACAACGTGCGCGACTGGCTGCGGGTGATCGCGTCGAACAAGGACCGCAACGTGTACGAGCTGCGCTACTTCAACATCGCCGAGAACGAGGCCGACGAGGAGGCCTAAACCGTCCACGCCCGTGCTTCGCTTCACTCGCAGATACATGCCTCTCCCGCACTCCCTGACACTGCTGCTGGTATCACGGGGGCCTGCAGCTTCTGTGCCTCTGCCTGTCTCTCCAGCCCCCTTGGCAAGAAATCCTTTTTGCTTTCATTGTAACAGTTACATTAGTTACAGTTGCACCAGGCTATGAAGCTGTGTCAGGCTGAGAAGGGGCTGCCTGTAACGGGTGGAGAAATCAGGGGTTCTGGATGTCTGCCTTGGGCACCTAGCCCCGTTTAAGAAACGAGCAATGAACATCACTCGATAAACTCAGTTATACCTCTTACGATTGCTGAGTAATCAGTACCGCATGGTAGAGCTACTACGTTTTGGGTCTTGGTGAAACCATCACATATCATGGAGTGCCCAATGTTGTATGTACAAGGAGGTGTTGGAAAGTTCACACCACACAGAGCTGTTCTTAGCGAGTGAAACGCCTTACTTCGCCAGCACACGTTTCCGAGAACTGTAAGTCAGTGGACTCCCACCTTCGATAGCCGTAGTTTCCGCCTCGACCTGCACTGCGTGCCGTGCAATACCCGTTCCGCTAGCCGCCTAGATTTCGCCTCTTATCTTTCGCTCCTCTCTGCTCCATCGTTAAGGGTTTGCACTCACATGCCTGCACGTCCTCTCCTCTCACTGCTCGCTGCTCCTAGCACCGTCCATCCTCACTCTCTGTTACTATCGCGAGTAACACATAGTCTCGAAGTCACCTACATGTTCTAATTCACGTACCTTTCTTGAAGCCGCAAGTCTCTTAAAGCCGCGACCAGCATGGCTTTCCCCGACGAGCACTGGCGGCGGTTCGGGCCGCTAGCGGCGGGAGCGCTGTTCGGTGCGGCGTGGTGGATATGGGTGGACGCGGTGGTGTGCAACTCGACGACGGTGCCCTTCTTGCACTACGTGCCGGGCATCTTCGCGGCGCTGGCCGCCATGATGTTCAACGCCGTGCACCGCGACGAGCTCCTCGACTACTCGCCCTACGACGACGGCGCCGGCTGCAGGTGAGACCATGGGGCGGGCTGCAGGTGAGCCGACAGCCAACAGCGGTGAGCCGACAGCCGACAGCAGTGAGCCGACAGCCGACAGCAGTGAGTTGACAGCCGACAGCAGTGAGCCAACAGCTGACAGCAGTGAGCCGACAGCCGACAGCAGTGAGTTGACAGCCGACAGCAGTGAGCCGACAGCCGACAGCAGTGAGCCGACAGCCGACAGCAGTGAGCCGACAGCCGACAGCAGTGAGTTGACAGACGACAGCAGTGAGCCAACAGCCGACAGCAGTGAGCCGACAGCCGACAGCAGTGAGCCGACAGCCGACAGCAGTGAGTTGACAGACGACAGCAGTGAGCCGACAGCCGACAGCAGTGAGCCGACAGCCGACAGCAGTGAGCCGACAGACGACAGCAGTGAGCCGACAGCCGACAGCAGTGAGCCAACAGCCGACAGCAGTGAGCCGACAGCCGACAGCAGTGAGTTGACAGCCGACAGCAGTGAGTTGACAGCCGACAGCAGTGAGTTGACAGCCGACAGTAGTGAGCCGAAAGCCGACAGCAGTGAGCCGACAGCCGACAGCAGTGAGTTGACAGCCGACAGCAGTGAGCCAACAGCCGACAGCAGTGAGTTGACAGCCGACAGCAGGTCCCGGTGCGGCAGGGAGCGGTCCCAGAGCGGCAGGGGGAGCGGCAGGGCACGCCCGCAAGCCACCCATACCCCACCCCACCGCCAGGTCCCGCACGTGGCTCTTCCTGTGATTGCCTTCACTTCTCTAACAGACGCGCGAGATGGCCCTTAATGGACACCTTTTCCTCACCCACCCGCAACCCAACCTTCCCCGCCCCTCCACAGGTCGCGCACGTGGCTCTTCCTGGCGTACGTGATCGCCTTCGCGTCGCTGGCAGGGGCGGCAGGGCTGCTGATAAAGGACGCCTCCCCCCCCAGCACGTCCTCGTGGCCCGGCGCTGCGGGCGTCTTCCAGTGCGCCTTCATCATCGGCAGGTGGGCGGCGCTCTGTTGTGTTGTCTGCATGTGGGGCGGGGGGATCTGCTATCTGCATGTGGGGCGGGGGGATCTGCTATCTGCATGTGGGGCGGGGGGCTCTGCTATCTGAATGTGGGGCGGGGGGATCTGCTAGCTGCAGGCGGAAGGGGCTTTGGTGTTTTTTTCTTTCCATGCTTTCTGAGGCGCCTAAAAATCGCCTAAAAAATCCACGCTTTCTTTCTCAATCCGTGTCTCCAGCCTCATCCGTGCATGGTCGTCTTGTTGAGCATCCTCCCCACCCTCAGTCCTAACCCGGGCCCCCCTCTTGTCCCCTCCGCTCACCCCGCTTCTCCGTGCTGCCCTCTGCAGCGGCCTCTTGTACTGGCTCTCACGCTCCTCCGAATCCTCGCCCTCCTACTACTGATCACCGTCTCCCATCCTGCCGCCCACTCTTCAAACACCTGCCGGCTCTCTGGGGTACCACTCTGTGGCACTGCTGTGCTGCTGCTGTGAAGGCTCTTGTTTGGTTTGGTTCTTCTTTTGAGGCGCCTCAAAAATAGATTCTGCTATATGCCTGAAGAGAGCCATTGAATGTTTCATTCAATAGCTGTTTGTTATTGCGACCTTCACTGCTTGTACAGATGTCTTTGTATAGCCTGTCCGTTATGCATGCAACCTGCAGCTCCAGCTGCGCTCATTGGTGGAGTTAGTTAGCATGCACCAGACATGCTCGCGAGTCGTGAGCATCCAAAATCGTAATCAAGGTTCTTCATGCAAACACCTACCAACATGCCTCCTAGCAGCTCACAAGTCATACTGGGGAATCGACTCTGCACCGGTGTCAATGCCAGCTCAGCAAATCGGCAGAGAGCAAAGTACCAACGACAACAGAACAGGAGCATACCCATCTTTGGGCGTACCAAGTCAGATCCAGCGAAGTTGGATCCCACTGCGCGCATTACCGATCTGAATCACACTGGAATGCGCATTTTCGACACTTGCCCAACTCTGGACCATGCGTGCTGGATCCAACTTCGCTGGATCCAACTTAGTAGAAATACGCCCTTAGTCTGAATGCTCACACAGCAGCCAATCAAGTGCCCATCTCACCACCAGCCCCATCCCCTCTTCCTGCCCCGCCTGCCCCTGCCCCTGCCCCTCCCCCTGCCCCCCTTCCTGCCCCTCCACCCCCTCCCCCTTTCCCACGCCCTGCTGCTGTTCCCGCCCCCCTTCCTGCCCCGCCTGCCCCCCCTACTCCTCTTCCAGCTCCCTTCCCCCCTCCCTTCCCGCCTCCCTTCCCCCCTCCCTTTCCACCCCCTTTCCCCCCTCCCCCTCCGCCCTTCTTCCCCTCCCCTTTCTTCGCTTTGCCAGTGGCAGCGCCAGCAGCACCTTTTGCCTCCCCTCCTGCATTAACACCACCAGCAGCAGCACCAGCACCACCACCAGCACCAACGCCTGCAGCAGCACCAGTAGCAGCAGCGCCAATGCCAGCAGCAGCAGCAGCAGCGGGAGGAATGGAGACAGCAGCAGAAACCCTCCCCTTACCTCCCCCAGCCATACTTGGCATTGCCAAACCCCCACCCATGCCCCCACCCAGGCCCGCACCCATTCCACCAACGCCTCCCTCTCCTGCTACCACCCCCCCTGCACTGGCGCCAGGCCCCCCCGTGCCCTGCTTTCCCCCGATACCCATTTCCCCACCCCCTGCGCCCTGCGGCATGCCAGCGCCTCCCCAAGCGGCAGCACCGGAGGGGGGGATGGAGAGTGGGGAAACACGGGATGCTGCAGCGCTGGCTGCTGGGCCTGAGAGGGGGCCAGACGAGGGGGAGACCGTGGGGGAGGGGAAGGCGAGGGAGTGAGGGAGTGGTGGAGGGTTGGAGGAGGAGGGGAGGCGGAGGGCAGAGAGAGTGGGGGTGAGAGGGGGAGGCATGGGGTGAGGGTGTGAGGAGGGCGAGGAGGGGACGTTGGAGTAGAGAGAGGAGTGAGGGAGAGGAGGGGAGGCTCCCCCGCTGCCCATGCCTGCTGCACCCAGTGCAGCTGCAGCAGCCGAGGGGGCGTTGTTGAAGGGTGGGGAGGAGAGGTGTCTCGGGTCGGATACACTCAACAGCAGCGAGCGACGCGGCTGCTGCTGCTGCTGCTGCTGGTTTTGCTGTTGCTGGTGTGTCTGCTGCTGCTGCTGCTGCTGCTGCTGCTGTTGCTGCTTCTGCTGCTGCTGCTGCTGCTGCTGTTGCTGTTGCTGCTGTTGCTGTTGTTGCTGCTGCTGCTGAATCTGCTGCAACCGCTTCTGCTGCTGCTGCTGCCGGCGCCGTCGCTGTTGCTGCTGTTGTTGCTGCTTCCGCTGGGC